TCCCCAACATCTTTTCAGCCAAAGATGATATTTGAGGTGGTGGCTTCAGCCATTTTGGTGAGTTACTCAACTTTCATGGGTCTCCCAACTATTCTGGAGTTATATATATTATTAAACTTTTGACTTTTTATGTTAATAATCTGTCTTTTATTACAGGGATGTCTCAGTCAAGAACCCAGAAAGGTAAAGGGAAAATTATTTTTTCTCTCTTACAGATCGATAGGCTATACCATATGGCGTAGGTATATAGTAGACTATACCGTCTAGGTTTGTGTAAGTGCACTCTATGGTGTTCACACAAGGAAATTCCCTAACAATGCATTTCTCAGAATGTAGCCTTGAAACTGGACAATGAATGAGTCCAGGCTGCCTGTCACTACTTGAGCCAACTAAGCAGAGACAAGATTGAATCATATATGAGTGTTTATTCCAGTATTGCCAGCAGTATGGGAGAGCAGTGGGTCATCCCATAAAATCTCTGCTCCTCCTCACTTGCCAGCTGTTTTTAGAGGGTAGAGAAACAATGGCTACATGAGAAAGGGCAGTTAGGCAAAAAGGAAAAAAAATAGGTAAAATCATTACAGGCAATCGGGTAGGAATGTAGGCTGGGGGTTGCAGTCATGGATCCAGTGTTCTGATAATTGGGATGTTAATCTTTCTGTGATGTCAGGTAGTCCCCCTTGTTCCCAGATTAGGAGAATGGACAGCATTCCTGAGGTAACCTCCTAGCCACGTCAGAATGGGCTTTTCTTTAATCAGAACAAAGCAATCATGATTAACATTGTAAAGGATGATTAATATTTCTTATAACTATGGCTAGTATCCCACTATGATTAGTTCTCTATTATTTTATTATTTTATTATTCTCTCCCACCCCTTTCATTCTCATCATTAAGCAGGATATGGTTGTACTAGTGTTGGCTTTATTTCATGTTTATTCAACAAATATTTATTGAGCATTGATCTTGTGCTAGTGTTAGCGGCAAAATGGCACCAAAATGTTACTGGCAATGGGACCTCAGTTCAGCAACCTCAGTACCTGAGTTCTGGCTAAGAAACAATTCAGAGCCAAGACTCAAATATAAGCAAAAGTTTATTTAGAAAGTCACAGAGGTAGAAAAAGTGAACCAGCTGGGCTTCATGGGCTCAAGGAACAAGTTACAGGGGCAAAAAAAGGGGCCCATAGAACTTAGGAAAAAGAAAAAAAAGGGGGAAGGGGAAAGAGAAAGGCTCTGGCATGCTCCAGAGAGAGCAAACACTGGGGGAGGAATGGTGTGGGGAGAGGTGGGCATGCTCAAGGGAGGGGGAAGTGGGGGAAGCTGAGGGAGAAATGAGGGAGAACGAGCTGAGTCCTTTATCTTAAGGGGTTTTATTGGTTTCCCAAAGGCAGGGATTTTAGGGGAGGTCTAGGGAGGATCTCAATAGAATATTCATCAACTTTCCAGGGGTGTCCTCTCTCGAAATGGTCTCCACTAATTAATCAATGCCATGGCAAGGGGTCATTAGTCATCACAGCTGGTCCTGATGTCAGTCTTAGCATCACCCTGCCTGGCTTTGCTGTTTTTCTGGGCCTGGAGCTGAAATACCTGAGGCCTAGATGTTATCTCTAGGACTTAATGCTCTAGGGAGACATATGAGACTATTCTCCATTCCCCTCGTTCCTCCTCTAAGGGGGATCTACCGAATGACTGTCGACATGCCAGCCGAGGAAAGGTCAGGGGAGGGTCTGAACTGCATGACCAGATATGATAGGGGAGGAAATATCACCCTTGATGGCCAGGTCCCACCCCAGTTTTGCCCATTGCTAGGCACCAGGGGTTTTCCACCCTGGTGACTTTCAGCACCTGGCCCATCATTCCTACTCTGGTCATGCCTGTCTAACTGCCTGTTACACTAGGAGCTGGAGATGCAAGGATCAACAAGATTGAGTCCCTGCCTTCGTAGAACTTACATTCTAATGTGTACTGAAGCACTGTGGGTCAAGGTTGTTAACACACACACACACACAAACAACATTCATCTGAGTAAATATGAAGATCTAATTGGCTTTATGAAATTATTCACTGGGCATCACCCCATGTAGCAACTAAAAGGGTGCTCCTAGGGAGTTGTATGAAATGCAGCTATTAACAAAAGAACTGAAAGGATTGTTTTTAGACCAGGACATCTTTTAGAGAGGAGGGAATGGAAGGGTTTTATCCTGCAGATTGCTTCTTCATTCTTGGGCGAGGGAAGGGATGGAGAGGGCCCACTTGAGAGATTTACCTTTTTGGTGCTTCACTAGACAATTCCAGACTTGATTAAGATTACATTTCGGGGGGGGGGGGGGGGGGTGTTGAAACCGCAGTTAAATTAGGTATTAAATCTAGGTTTGAGCCCAACCAGTGTGGCTCAGTGGCTGAGCATCAACCCATGCACCAAGAGGTCACTGGTTCGATTCCCCATCAGGGCACATGCCCAGGTTGTGGGCCCGATCCCATTGTGGGGCATGCAGGAGGTGGCCAATCAATGTTCTCTCATCAATGTTTCTATCTCTCCCTCTTTTTTCCTCTCTCTCTAAAATCAATAAAAAATATTTGTAAACAAAATTTAGGTTTGATGTCATGGCTTTTACACTGAGTGATGCCATTTTGGGCCTGTGGTTTTCTCTTTAAAAGGGTCAAAAGAGCCCTGGCCGATTTGGCGCAGTGGTTAGAGCATCGGCCTGCGGTCCAGAGAGACCCGGGTTCGCTTCCCACTAAGGGCATATACCTCGGTTGCAGTTTGTCCCCAGCCCTGGTTGGGTCGTGCGGGTGGCGACCACTCGATGTGTCCCTTTCACATCGATGTTTCTCCGTCTCTCTTCCTCCCACTCTCTCTGAACAGAAAATGGAAAAATGTCCTCAGGTGAGGATAAAAAAAAAAAAAAAGTCAAAAGAACCCTGGCCAGTTTGGCTCAGTGGTTACAGCATCAGCTCGTGGACCAATGAGTCACAGGTTCAATTAGGGTCAAGGGCACATACCTCAGTTGCGATTCGTCCCTGGCCCTGGTTGGGGTCATGTCAGAGGCAGCCACTCAATGTGTTCCTTTCATATCGATGTTTCTCTCCTCCTCTCTCTCCCTCCACTCTATCTGAATAAAAGTGGAAAAAATGTCCTCGGGTGAGGATTTAAAAAAAAAAAGTCCAAAGAATTGGAAAGTCACTACCTACCCAGTCCCATCACTGCATAGAGGAGCCAGAGGAGCCAGCAGCATTTCCCCTTCCCATGCTTTTTTGCTCCTCACTGCCAAGCTCCTTATTGCCCTTGACCCCCACACAGCAGACCTTTCCCCTCCAGGGGCATATTATCTAAGTAATGTTTAAAAGATTGGACCCTGCCTGCCAGTGTGGGTCAATTTGTTGAGCATCATCCCATGTACCAAGAGGTTGCTGGTTCCATTCTGTCAGGGCACATGCCTGGGTTGTGGGCTTGATCCCTCCAGTAGGGGCAGGGAGCAGGAGGCAGCCGGTCTCTCTCTCTCCCTCTCCCTCTCTCTAAAATCAATAAAAACAAAACAAAATTTAAATAGAAGATTGGACCCTCTCTGCAAGTAATGGCAGCAGCTTTTCTTTCAATTCCCAATGTCCCCTTATTGTCTAATATAGTCTCTGGGTGTATGGCTAATAGATCCAGTTTCTACCCTCTTGCATTGTAAGAGTAGCAGAGGCCCTGGAAACCCTGGTATTTTGTTAGTTTTGTTTTTTGTTAATCCTCACTGAGGATATTTTTCACTGATTTTTAGATTGAGTGGAAGGGAGGGAGGGAGATAAAGAAACGCATAGATCCATTGCCTCCCTCAGGACCCCAACCAGGGTGGAGGATTGAACCTGCAACCCCGGTACATGCTCTTGAGCAGGAATCGAACACAGACCCTTTGGTCCTCTGGCTGACGCTGTAACCGCTGAGCCAAACTGGCCAGGGCAACCCTGGTATTTCTGATTTTCTTGCAGACGCTAAAAAGTCCAGTGTCCCAGATCTCTAGGAGGGACTTATAGCTCATCTTAGGGTGGAGGGTGGGATGGGTAGGGTTAGACTGGTCCCTAAAATTACGTGACCCATGCCCAGTTCTCCACAGGAAGAGCACCTAGAAAGAGGAACATGAGGGCGGGAGTGACTACGCAGTCCCGGGACAGTGTGGTTAACAGTGGGACCCACCTGAGCGCAGGCTTTACCGACCCCACCCACCCGCTTACTGAGCGTGGACGGAGGGGCGGGACTCCACTCGGTCGGAGAGGGGCGGGCTTGGCGTCGGCAACGTGAGGTGATTGGTTCTGCGTAGGGGAGGGGGCCCGCTTCCGCTGAACACCGGAAGTGGCCCTCCAGCTCTGCCAGTGGGCCATGGAGTTGGTGGCACAGTAACGTCTGAGGTTTGAGGATTGCGGGGCCGGCGGCCATGGAGGCCGTGCTAAACGAGCTGGTGTCTGTGGACGACCTGCTGGTGAGGCCTGGCCCTGAGGGGGCAGAGAAGAAATTTGGGCGGTCGGGTCCTGAGGAGAATCGGATAGGGGCCAAAAACCCTTTTCTCATCAGTTTTGCTTAGAGACGCTGAACTACTGCTCCCGGCAGCCTTTGCAGCGTCCGGCTCCTGCTGAGAGGTTCCACTTTGCTCCAGAGGCTAATGGGAGTTGTAGTTAACTGCGCCACCACGCCTCAAACTCAAGGCCTGGAGTCTGGCGTGGAAACATTGACGGGTCCTGGGTGCGTGCAACAGTTAGGAGGCCAGCGTTCTAACCTGTTTTGAGTGCTCCCTCAATGGCGGGGGACTGTTGCGACCACCATAAAGTTTCATGTATTACTATTCGGCACATTGCTAAGTGCATTACAGGCGATAGATATCTCAATCTTTGAGCTATAAGAGGTAGTCACTATCTTATTCCCGTTTTACAAATAAGAAAAAGTTCAGACGAGGCAAGGTGGGGCGGGATGGTGGAAGCAGTCTCCGCCGAGGGACTGCGTGGGCTGTTGAGCAGTTCTGACTGGTGTTGAACCACAGCATGTTTACTGTTCAGCCACTTGGGGTCAGTTGCTCCGGGAGCGGTGCCTGGAACTGCCACCAGGTGGCATCTCCACTCAGTACCACAAGAGGGAGGGAGCCGGATTGGGGGGAGGGGGGGAGGAGGGGAAGACTGTCCAAGGAGACATCCCACCGACAAGAAACGGAAAGCCTGGGTCCCAGAGGTGGAAGTAGAACCTGTGGAGCCAGATATCAAGACCCGCGAGGGAAATGTGGCAGCGACTGGGGCAGATGGATTGTAAGTGGGAAATGGACACCTGGGTCCTGATAGAGAATGGTTTGTCCCCTTCGTTTCTAAATGACTCCTCTCCTCTCCTATGGCAGAAGTTTGAAAAGAAATTTCAGTCCGAGAAGGCAGCAGGTTCGGTGTCCAAGAGCACGCAGTTTGAGTATGCCTGGTGCTTGGTGCGAAGCAAATACAACGATGACATCCGTAAAGGCATTGCACTGCTGGAGGGTGAGGTGCCAGGCTACTCTACTCTCCCCTTCACAGCTGCAATCAGGGTCTGCCCTTCTCTACTGCCATTGGTCATTCCCTCCCTCCATCTCAAGTGCTGGGATCCTTTTTCAACATGGGACCCTATAGTACAGTCACCTCACAGTTATAGTAAACTCACTATTACAAAGGGCTATATACATTAGCCTTGCTTCTCCCGGTGTACTTTGCGCTAATTACTACCTCATCATTGTTTTGCCAAACAGTCAGGCCATGTCAGTTTCCACAGGACTTTGGTGATCTGGTAGTCTAACCATAAAGAAAGTGACTTGTCTGAAGTCCCACAGCTATTAATGGCTGGATTAGGACTAGAGGCTCCTGTCTGATGTGTAAGTCCTGTGCTCTTTGCCCCCCACCATGTTGCTTATTCAGCAGCTGTTGTTGAAAACCTTTTGTGAGGATGGCGTAGAAGACAGTCCCAAAAACCTGTGAGCAGATTCTTTATTGGAATTCTATTTCCCATTGTTTTGGGATGGGTCACCATTTGTTGGAGACCATAATATTTTACCTTTAAATTTCTCTGTCTTGGTCAAATAATTGTATATAAGCAAATAGTCAGTGTACTAGCAAAGGATGCTTATTGTAAATCTTTAAAAATAAGAATCTTTCTTAATGCTAATATTCTCACCCTACATTTGTCTCATTTGCCAATTCAGATTTTTTTCAGGTTTCCTCTACAGCAGGACACGGCTGTAGAAGAAGTGGTCTCTAATGGTTGCCAGTCTAGTTGAAGAGATAAGGACAGACACTTGGGAAGATTTATAAACACCCACACAAATACTTAGCAACAAATTCTAGTGCATAGAGTACAGTTGAGCACATAAACTTCTAGGAAGTCACTGAAGTAAGAGTCAGGTGGGGTTATTGAGGAAAGGCTAATTGAAGGTGGGTTTTCAGCTGATTTTTTTTAAAGGGGTGGAGTGGGGGGTACAGACTTATTTTTAACACTTATTTGGGCAACTAGAAACTGTAGTTGAAACATAGCAGATGTCAAAACTGAGTAGAGATGCCTCTTGGCTTTTCCAGTGCCTTGATTTCCTCTCTGTTCACTTGGATGAACCAGGGTTGACTGCAGTATTGGTACCAGTGTGTTGATCACCAGGGTGTTTGGGCAGCCTGGGTTCATGCTGCTCAGAGCTCTGAGTAGGAAGCCAAGTGTGACTTGAGCTGAAACAGAGGCTCAGGAGAGTGACTTTCTCCCAGGATTTTATAGGTATTCAGAAAATGGAAGGGGGGTCTCTGGGACACAAGTACTAGTAAAAGAAAGGAGCAATTTTCACCTTTTCCTCTCTCTGCCCCAGAGCTACTGCCCAAAGGGAGCAAAGAGGAGCAGCGGGATTATGTCTTCTACCTGGCTGTGGGGAACTACCGGCTCAAGGTAAGGCAGAGAGCTCCCTCTCCGCTCCATCCTACTTGGATGGGCCACAGCACCCTCTCCTTTCTCTCCTCCAGGGTAGAGCCTAAAGAGGGCAGTGGGCAGGGGATGGTATCGGGTACAGAGGTACAAGATGTTAGCAAGTCAGGATGCTGAGGGAAGGTGAGAGACAGGATCAGGGTGCCGAGGGTGTGGGGAAAAGGTGACGTCAGGATTGGGGTGCAGCCCCGGGCCTTGGGTTGTTATCTCCCCTAGCTTATCATCCCCACACAGTTGGGGTTGTTTGTGGACTCTACTCCATTGGGTGGAGCTGGAATGAGGGAGGGGGTGGTGGAGGTAGAGGGAGGAGCCCCCAGGGCAAGTGAAGGGAAGGCCCCTCTGATGGGCAGGAGAGCTGGAATACTGAAGGGGCTGTGTGTGTGTTTTCCGAGTGTAGGAATATGAAAAGGCCCTAAAGTATGTGCGAGGGCTGCTGCAGACAGAGCCCCAGAACAACCAGGCCAAGGAACTGGAACGGCTCATTGACAAGGCCATGAAGAAAGGTGAATGCCTTCCCCTCTGTCTTCCTCCACTCTCCATTCTCCTGTCTCCCAGGCCCCCATCATTCCTAGGTCCTTCTCAACTATTAGTTTAGTCCTCTTCCTCTTACCCTACCCCATACCTGCACCCTCTAGTCTCTCTTTAAATGATCCTTCTCCCAGCAGTTCCTCCTCAAATCCCTAGAAGCCTTTTTTGTCCAACCCTTGGACTCCCAAACCTTATGCATCGAGGTGGAGAAGTACATCTGTTGAGGAGCAGTGGGCAGGAAGAAGATAGTAGCCAGGGTCCTGGTGGGCTGGAACTCAAGTCCTAACAATCTCCCTTTTCTTCCCCCTAGATGGATTGGTGGGCATGGCCATTGTTGGAGGCATGGCCCTTGGTGTGGCAGGACTGGCTGGACTCATCGGATTTGCTGTATCCAAGTCCAAATCTTGAATAAGACTGCACCTCTGCCTCTGCCCAGGGATACGTGGGAGCCCATGGAGGACACCAGACAGGGGCCTGTCTATCTTCGCTGTCCCTTCTCCTGTACCCCGTCACTATCCTCTGTGACCTCAACCACCTCTCCCCTAAGATCTGTGCTCTAGCCCCAAATCATGTGCTTTAGGATGAGTGTAAATAAAATCAGGCTTTGACTTAGGGACCTCTGTGTCTGTGTTGAGGAAAGGGCAGGTTCCCTTGAGCCCAGAAGTGGGGGTAACACATGGTCCTTTCCTGCTCTGTGTTCTTCTGTTACCTCCATGCATGGGGTTCTCTGTTGTCTGCAGAGCTGCCCAGATCCCACGCCCTTCCTCTCCCCACCCCACCAAAAGCCATGTGGCCTTCACACAGCCCTAGGATCCTGGGATATAGCAACAGGCGGTGGGAAGGGCAGAGCTGAAGGGACAGTCTTGGATTTATGTCTCCTGTCTCCTCTGACCCACTAAGCTGCCTCTCAGCACGTGGAGTTTTCCACACTAGGGGGCCCCCCCACTCAGTTTCCTCCAAAACCTCCGCCCTTCCCCTCCCTTTGTCTTCCTGCTTCCTCCCCTTCCTCCTACCCTAGCCTTCTTAGGAGAGGGGGTGCTGCTGGGGTGGGGGGAGGAAACGCATTTGGCATGGAGTTGGCAGGTTAGGAACCCAGGACACCCTGGTTCTAGCCTGCGAGATGGAAGGTGGGGACCCAGTCCCCACCCAGGCTGCTTTGCCTCACACCCACCTTGTGCCAGGCTCAGCTTGGGCCTGTCTTGCTTCACTGCATACCTCTCATTCCACAGCCAAGCCAGCCCAACTCGGGGATTGGGGAGGAGGCCCCTGAGGGGAGCACAGAGGAGCCTGACACGGGCAGGAAGGGAATGGGGGTTTACATTGCTGTTCAGTGATGTACTGTGTGATTGCCTGGATGTATGATCAGCCCCTTGGAGACTAAGCCAAAGCCACACTTGCCGGAAGAAAACCAGGGCTGTCCTGCTATGACCTTGGAGCAGGAAATGAGACCTATGCCAAGACAGGTGCTCAGCTTTGGCTTGGGGTGGGAACCCAGAGGTTCCTAATCCATCATAATTAACAGAGTTGGTGACAGTTCTCATAACAATGAGCTTAGATTAGCCATGGGATCACCTGGGCCTGAGATTTATCCCCAGGGACCCTTGGCAGCAAGATCAAGTTTGTTGCTGAGGGTCAGAGATCAACCCACCAAAGGGGAAAAATCAAGTTCAGGAAGTTGAAGTTTGCAGGAAAGCAACCCCTGATGTCTCCACTCTGGGTCTGAGGCACCGACACCCAGGGTTGTCAAGGAGAGTCAACAACTATCGAGTAATTGATGTGTGTGGGGAGCTTTGATTTTTTTTTTCCTTTGGTTAATCCTCACCTGAGGATAGGATATTTTTTCATTGATTTTTAGATAGTGTGGGAGGGAGGGAGAGACACACATGATTGGTGCCTCCTGCACGACCCTGACTGGGGCTGGGGATGGAAACTGCAACCCAGGCATGTGTCCTTGACCATGAATCGAACCCAAGACCCTTCAATCCATGGTGACACTCTAGGCGCTGAGCCAAACCGGTCAGGGCAGAGGTCACATTTCTTATAACCTATGAGGTAAGTAGTAGTAAGACTAGTTCACAGAGGCAGAAATAAACTCATGGGGCTCAAATTTTATGCCTGCGTTGCTTTGGTAAATGATGGGGTCTTGTTTGAATCTAGGTTGGTTGGACTCCGGAGCTGTCCGTTTCCCCCACAGACCCTGTTCCCTTCTACAACCTTAATCTTCCTAGAGGACTCAATGCCTCAACCCCTAGGTTTTTGAGTTTCCTGAATTGTTCTCACGAACAGCAAGAGGTAGTGGCTTTGCTCCCTTGTTCCTTTGCCATTGAAGGCTGCAGTGGCCTGTCTGTGGTCATTCTGTCTCTGTCTCTTCTTTCCCTCTTATTCCACTCTCTGGCCCCTGATGAAAGCTGAGTCAGAGACACGCTTCCCCTTGGCTCCCAATGCCTCCCATGGGGGCCCCTCCTTGGCTGCATCCGTTAGTCACTCCCTGGTAAGTCCCCCCCCACACCCTAGTGGGGCGGGGAGCCCAGGGCAGCCCAGAGGCTGTGGACTTTTGGCCCGTTTCGTTTATTCCCTACATCTCATCAACATCTGCCGCACTTCTCTTGGCTCATTCCTCTGACTGCTGACCTGCAGGGAAGCAGAAACCCAGAAAGAGGGAGGGAAGGCAGAAACCTGGAGACAGACCTGAGGCCGAGGCTGCAGCTGTTCTTCCGCCCTTCCCCACCCTCCTCCTTCCCACCCTGCCTTAACACCTCTCTTTAGCCAAAGCCCCCCAAAGTTCCCTGGGGCTCAGCCCTTCTCCCTCTGGGGCCCCAGGTGCCCCTTAGGGCCTGCGTCCCACCATGTCAGTGGCTGTGGAGACCTTTGGCTTCTTCATGGCAGCCCTGGGGCTGCTGATGCTGGGTGTGACCCTGCCACACAGCTACTGGAGAGTGTCCACTGTGCACGGGAATGTCATCACCACCAACACCATCTTCGAGAACCTCTGGTACAGCTGCGCAACCGACTCCTTGGGAGTCTACAACTGCTGGGAGTTCCCGTCCATGCTGGCCCTCTCCGGTACAGGGTGAAGGTGAAGGGAGCAGAGGGAGGTGGGAGGTTGGAGAGAGCTCCGGGGAGTCCAGATGCTGCCTGTGATCTGGTCTTGGGTGCCAAACAGATACAGGAGGCCCGATGAAGTTCAGAGACCAACTCCTGCTGCAGGGAATGCTGGGGGTAGGCCCCTGTCTAGCACTGCAGTGGTGACCTGGTCACGCGTGGCCCCCTGCCCTCATGTGCCACTCTGTCTCAGTGGTTAAAGTGCAGGCACCAGGGTTAGACTGCCATGCCAGCGCCTGCTGTGTCCTAGCTCTGCGCCTTGGGCAGGTGGTAAAATGAGCTTAATTGACCCATCTGTAAAATCAGGATCATAATAGCACCAATTCATAGGGTAGTCGTGGGAAACTTATGAAATAAAATGTGTAAAATGTTAACATGATGTTAACATCTATATGCATGCAAACAATTTTAGCATTTTAGTGTTGGGTTGGGCATGCTGGAGTTTGTAGAGTGAAGAGGAGGCCTCATCTTGGATTCTCTGGAGTTGTGACAATTTCAGTAGCCTCATCAGATTTCCACTGGGACACGCTGCTGTGGCAAATTTTAAAGGGCTGCTTTAAAGAGTTTGAGTATCGCCCTGGCTGGTTTGGCTCAGCGGTTAGAGCCTCGACCTGCCGTCCGGAGAGACCCGGGTTTGGTTCCCGCTAAGGGCGCGTACCTCGGTTGCAGTTTGTCCCCGGCCCTGGTTGGTTGTGCAGGTGGCAGCCACTCGATGTGTCCCTTTCATGTCGATGTTTCTCTCTCTCTCTTCTTCCCACTCTACCTGAACAAAAAAGTGGAGAAATGTCCTCGGGTGAGGATAAAAAAAAAGAGTTTGAGTATCTAATGTAAGCAGGTGAGGATGTGGGCATGTGTGTTCAGAGTTCTTTGGGGGAGTGTATTTTTTTAGTTCTTGGCAAGCTGGAGCCTATAGCCCTTTGGGCCCAGAAAGATTCTCATCTTCCCACTTCCTGCTCACCCTATGAGTATAGCTCCCCCCCCCACTCTATTTCCTAGGGAAGGCTCCCTTCAGTTGGCCCCTTGCCAGCTGAAGGAGACCAGGAACCCTCTGTGGTGCCACTACCTTGGCCTCATGGTGTCTTCCTGGAGCATCTCACTCATGTAGGTCCCCTTCTGCAGGTGCCGGAGGTAGGGGAAGGAGCAGAGGCCAACACGGGGTTTAGAGCAGGGCTACACAAAATCTCCCAAAAATTTCAAAGATGCTCTGAGCAGTTAGGGGGTCCAGATGGGTCTCGTGTCCCCACTATTCCCAGAATCTCCGGAGGCAGCTGCAGAGGCTTCATGCTTTCATCCCTCTCTCTAGGACTTACAAGGCAAGTGCCCCCCCCCCAAAAAAAAAACCTTTAAAATAGTTGAGTACAAACTGGCCCAGAATGCTGGGTGGCCAGAAGGGACATGGGAGGCAGCCAGGGCACAGCCCTGGCCATCCTTACCTCTTACACTCAACCACATGGTGAGTAAGGGCCTTTGCTGTGAGCCTGTCCCACTTGGAACTGCTGCTCTTGACCTGAGAAAGGACCATAAGTGCACAGGAAAGATGAAGGACCAAGGGCAGGCTTGGGGCAAGGGCGCAGCTGCCCAGTGTTGAGGGGCATCTTGGTTCCGGGTGTGGTGCTGGGTACTTCGCATACACCATTTTAAGGCTGTTTACCATAGTTCTGCTGTTGGGGCATTAGTAACCTCATTTTAAAGAACCTGGAAAACTGCAGGGATAAGGGTTAACCTGCCCCCAGTCACACAGATGGTGGGGAGGTTGGAATCTCGACTGAGTGTTTCTGAGTCCAGAGCTGGCTGACTTCCAAAGCTGGTTCTGGTCCTGAGAGGGGCCCTGACAGTCATTTAGTCACCTCCCAACTGTGCACCCCTAGTCTCAGCTATTCGGCCCATGGTCTCACAGGCCCTTTGATAATCTACCCTTTGTCTACCAGAGCTGGTTGGCTCCAGGTGGAGATGGTAGATGGATGGGTGGGGATAGGATATGGGGTAGGTGAAGAGGGCGCAAACTCCAGAGGGAATGGCTAAATAAGAAAGTGCTCCCAGAGAACTTTGTTCCTCCTCCCTACCTCCCAGCTCCAAGCCACTAAACATCCTCTTGGCAGGGACCCAGCCTTTCCCCTTCAGCACTGATGGCACTGCCCCACCTGGGAAAGGAGTGCAAGGTCCTTGGGTGCTAGGCAACTATCCAAGTCAGAGAAGGGGGAAGGGGAGCCAGAAAGGAAGCCAGCCATTTCCTTCAGCTTTGAGAAAGGGGGAACTGAGGCTCTGAAAGCATGTGTGCAAGACTGACTTGGATTGGTCCTGGCCCAGGTATCCCACCTCCCAGATTAGAAACCGCCCTGGACCCAGTGACCCACAGGCCACTGCTGCCCCCTACTGGTGACTTCAGGAAGAAGTTCAAGTCAGGATTGTCTGGCACCGTGCTAAGCACTAAGTGGGACCTGGAGAAAGGCAGATGTGGGGAAGGAGCTGGGGGTGCCCAGCGGGCATAGTAGAGGTTGGTGGTGATCTAACAGAGCAGTGGTTCTTAACTAGGTGATTTTGCCCCCCAGGGGTCATTTGACAGTCTATGCATTTTAAGTGTCCCCTTTGGGGAGACTACTGACACCTAGTGGTGGAGGCCAAGGATGCTGCTGAACATCCTACAATGCACAGGATGGCCTCCCAGAACAAAGCATTATCCCGCCAAAGTGTCAGTAGCACCCGGGAGAAGCCCTATAGCAGAGGTATAGGCAAAGTGCACCGGCGCAGGTGGCAGGGCAGGAGAGTCTGAGACTCCCTGGGATTGAGGTGAGCTCCTGGGAAGGAGGGAGGGGAAGAAGAAGAGTTGAGGACTTCTAGGGACTAAGGCCAGAGCAGGGGCTGTAAGGGGCTGGTTATTATTGAGGGGAGAGGAGATAAAGGGGTAAAGGGTTGGCTCAGGGACCCATGGCTGCAACACACCTCCCCAGGGTACATCCAGGCCTGCCGGGCACTCATGATCACCGCCATCCTCCTGGGCTTCCTGGGCCTCTTGCTGGGCATGGTGGGACTGCGCTGCACAAACATTGGGAGCATGGTGCTCTCCAGAAAAGTCAAGCTGGCGGCCACTGCTGGGGCCCTATACATACTGGCTGGTAATTGAGGGAAGGTGATGGGTGGGCCCTATGCTGTGGTGGGAGGTTGGGGGTGGCCCTCAGGGTTTTCTGTCTTCTCCAGTTCCCACTCCTTCCCTTTTGCATTGACACCTGCCCTCCCAGGCTAAGCTCTTCCCTCTCTTCCTGCTCACTTCAATTTCACCCATACTCACCAAATCCCTTGGCTACAAATCAGTCCATTAGCAATGTTTCTAGAGCCCCCACAAGGGCAGGCATAAGAGAGGTGTGGGAGAGATGCTGAAGGTGAGAGTGAGTGTCTGCCCTCCTGAGCATACAGCCTGGGGGGGGGGGGGGAGATCACAGTCAGGGTATGCATGCACACACACACACACACACACACAGAACACAGAAACAACACTGTATGACTGGCCATCCCTTTTCAGTTTATAAAACATACCTATACAGCCCTGGCTGGTTTGGCTCAGCGGTTAGTGTTGGCCTGCAGTCCAGAGAGACCCAGGTTCGGTTCCCACTGAGTGCATGTACCTCGGTTGCAGTTTGTCTCCAGCCCTGGTTGAGTTGTGCAGGAGGCAGCCAATTGATGTGTCCTTTTCACTTCGATGTTTCTCTCTCTCTCTCTCTCTCTCTCTCTCTCTCTCTCTTCTCTCTCCCTCCCACTCTATCTGAACAAAAAAATGTAAATATGTCCTCAGGTGAGGATAAAAAAAAAATTCTAAACCATACCTACACATATCACCTCATAAGCTGGTGAGGTAGGGAGGGTCTCATCCTAGTCTTCAGATGTGGAAATAGACTCAGAAAGATCAGGTGACTAACTAGAGGACAAGGCCCCAGCGAGTGGCAAGGCTGGTCCTGTTGTCCAGGGATCTCACTGGCTTCAGGCCTTCACTTCACCTGAGTGGCAAAGGCATGTCACAGGCTCTGAGGGCTTTGGGAGGCCAAAGGACACAGGTGTCAGGACAGACAGGGCTAGTTGGAAAAGACTACTAGGGCAGCTGGGCTTTCTAGAATGGACGGGCAGTCCAAGCGAGGAAACTAAATGATCAAGGCACTAGAGGGCAGGGATGAACAAGGCAGGTCAGGGATAGAGGAGACAAGAGCTGGCTGAGGAGCAGAGTGTGGCTGGGTCCTGGGTTCTGGCTGGATGGAGAAGTTTTCAGTTGACTCTAGGAAACAAAAGGGTCATGAGCTAGGGAGGGGGAAGAAAGGAAGGGAATAAAATTTGCTCTTGGACTTGATGCCCCACATCCTGCTCTCTGGGCTGCTCCTGCCTGGCCCTCCCCCTAGCTTCCTAGGGGCCTAGGGCTCCAGTGCAGTTCTCTCCCTGCCCCAGGTTGCTGCGGGATGGTGGCCATCACCTGGTATGCCGCCAACATCACCCGGGACTTCTTTGACCCCTTGTATCCCGGAACCAAGTGAGTGTGGGAGCCCCACCCTTGGGGTAGAACTTGACCATGTCCCTGAGCTAGCACTGCCCCGCGTTGTATTTGTCCCCAGGTATGAGCTGGGCCCTGCGCTCTACCTGGGCTGGAGTGCCTCTCTGCTGACCATTCTGGGTGGTGTCTGCCTCTGCTCCAACTGCTGCTGTGCTCCCAACAAGGACCCTGCCACCAGGTAAGGAGGGTGAGCTGCGTGGGGTTGGGGGGCAGTGAGGGCGGCACCTGCTTCTGATCCAGGACCTCGCCCCTTCCCTCCTTCGCCAGCACCCGGCTCCCCTACAAGGCCTCCACAGTGCGGTCCGCTGGCCTCTCTGCCCACCTCCAGCCAGCAGCCTCGGATGAAAAGGGCGACATCAGCTTTGGCAAATACGGGAAAAACGCTTACGTGTAGGAGGCCTGACTTGTGGATCCTATTCCCTTCTCGCTGCCCCCAGTGAAAAGAGGTCCCTGGATGGAACCCCAGGCAGCAGCAGGCCCTCCTTGGGGTTACCACCTCAGGGACCAGCCTCGCCCCAGGGCCAGGCCACACCCTGGGCTCCACCTTGGGGCTGGAAGCCACACCCAGCTCAGGCCCCACCTCTTCAGAGTTCCACCCTGGCCACGTTTCCCCCGGCCAAGAACCCACCTCCTATGGACTCACTTCAGACTCCTGAGACTGAACCCAACCCCTCTTTATCCTCTGAGTGGGGTCTGAGCAGTCAGGTGGGTGGGGGCATCCCCAAGTACTTGCATTCTATATAAATACATGCATAAATAAATTTGTATAGTAAACTGTTTCAGGGCTGAGAGTGTCATGAAACAGCTGGCCAAGCACGAGATGCCTGGGGCAGCATCCAGTCATCTCAGTTCTTGGACACTAGACTGTCACCTGTCCCCCTCTCCATCACCTTTGAACTATCTTATCCAGCAAAATAGAGGGAAGGTTGCAAGTGATTTTAAGACTGTTACATTCATAATTATTGATAAGGGTCATCAAGGAGCAGATCTGGAGACTCAGCTCTAGGAAACTGCCCAGCATGAGATAACAAGCCACTCGTTTTACTCAAACTTTTGTCACAGCTGTACAAGGATACAGGTGGTCTAGGACAGTTTCTTCTTCTTCTTTTTTTTTTATCCTCACCCGAGGACATTTTTACATTTTTTATTCAGATAGAGTGGGAGGGAGAAAGAAACATCGATGTGAAAAGGACACATCGAGTGGCCGCCTCTCGCACAACCCGACCAGGGCCGGGGACAAACTGCAACCAAGGTACACGCCCTTAGTGGGAACCGAACCTGGGTCTCTCTGGACCACAGGCCAATGCTCTAACCGCTGAGCCAAACCGGCCAGGGCTAGGACAGTTTCTTTACCTGGACCTGAGAGTGGGTATCAGAAACTGACCAGCCCTTTGAAATTGTGTCAAATCAAGGGTCTGGTGCAGATACATTTTTCTGGGGAAGGTTCAATAACTTCCAGAAAAGACTCGGAAGGTCTGTTCACGGAGGCTTGCGTATCAGTGGCATGTGTACGACTCCCTGGTATCCAGCTCAGACACAGCACTGGGTCATGAGTAGACTTGGCACAAGGCACTGAGCAGCTCTGTACCCACTGAAGACTAGAAAATGAGGCCACAAAAAAGAAGCCTGGCATCTAGTGGAAGGAGGTGGTAGGGCCTTATCCTGGTACCTTCCCCTGACTATGGTGACCAGTCACTTGGGGGTAGCTTGGTTTCTGATATCAGCCCTTTCCCTTTTCATCCCATCTGCTCACCAGTACTCTCTCCTGGGATGTAGACCCATCTACCTTCTAACTGGGCCCTCTCTCCAGAGCTTCAGAAGTACATGCACCCCATGTTTTCACAGGCTGGGCAAATTCTTTATTTCCTGTCATTCCTATTACCATCATCGCCAACCTCTCAGTCACACAGATTGACAATCTCAGTCATCTCTGGCTTCTCCCTCTACTTCCCCTCCCCCCAGTTAACTGCCAAATCCTATCAGTTCTCTCCCTCCAGTGTTTTTACATCCACGGACTTCTCTCCCTCCACTGCCTGGTTCTGGGTCAGGCCCTTATCCTCTCTTGCACAGACTAGTCACAGGGTTTTCCTAATTGAGGTACTTGTCCATATTCCTCTACTGGAGCATCAATTATTGTCCTGCCCTGGAAGCTCCCTGGTGACTCAGAAAAATAAGAAAAGACAATTAAGACCTTGACACACTGCCTGACCCTACCCCATCTTTCTAACCCCGCTTCTTACTATTCCTCTATAGAACCATGCTCTCCCAGCAAGCTGGACTGCTCCACTGGCCCTGGACGCACATTTGCATCGGGGCCTCCCATTAGGCTCCACCCAGAAACACTGGTGCATTTTGAGTTGTTCCCCTATATAGAAGCTTCCATGTCCAAGGAGTCTGCAAAGATCTGTATATCCTACCCCCTTCATACTCTGCTTTTGGACAGTTTGTGGATATCCCATGGCCAAGCCAGTCCCCTAGCTAAGTCCAAAGCCCATATGGAAAGGACTGCGCAGAGTGCAGACACCAGGGAGTGTTTCATAGAGGCCCTTCGTGTAACAATCTACCATGACAAGTACCAGGCCACCTGACTTGATTGTTAGCAAACCAATAACAGGTTTCTCTCTCTGGATGAGACACATATCTTAAAATAGGTCTTACAGCCCTGGCCGGTTTTGCTTAGTGGTTAGAGAGTCAGCCCATGGATTAAAGAGTTGCGGGTTCAATTCCGGTCAAGGGCACGTACCTTGGTTGTGGTTCATCGTGTGGGAGGCAACCAGTCGATGTGTCACTCTCACATCAATGTTTCTCTTTCTGTCTCCCACCCTCCCTCTCTCCCACTCTGAGATAAATAGAGAAATATCCTTGGGTGAGGATTTAAAAAAAAAGTCTTACAATTCTAAAAGGCCACAAAAATGCCACAGGGATGCCTGTGTACCACACAGTGAATGACAGAAGCCAATTACAACTCCTGATGCTGCCACCAGGCACCTCCAACCTAAATTCTCCCTCTGCCCCACTCTACTGCTTCTACCTACTTACCCACACTCCATCCTGCCTCTTCTCATCTCCTCCCCCTTTCAGGAAAACTAGCCTTAGCCAGGTCTCACATTTGGGTATTTAAATAAGTGCCTAATATGATCATCAGGTAAGTTTTGATTTCTTTGTCCATCAGTCATGGTCACATGGCTCTAAAGGGCTATTGACACACCCTTAACATGGTCTTCTTTTCTAGAAGTTAGAGCACAAAGACATGACCCCTGCCCTGAAAAAACTCACAAGATAGGAGCAAAGAAATATAAACAACTGGTTTCCATATAATGGGCAAGATGCTAGGGCTACTCCAAAGAATCCTCCAGTTTTAAGGGAACTGGCTGTAAAAACCTCCACAACAAACTGCTTTAGGTCTTCCTAGTTGTGTCCTCCTGACCTACAGAATCTGTGGAAATAATAGAAGGTTTACGCATTGAGTCGTGGGATGGTTTGTTATGCAATAGCAACAGGGACTTCAGGAACCCAGTTTGCTGGCCTAGGTTTATTGTCTCTCTCAGGAAAGGAAACTTTCCTGGGTTCTAACTTTTATTTTTTCCTCTCCACCAAGAAGTACACTCAAGAAAGAAACTAGAAGAAAAGACAATTTCTTTGTGTAAACCTTTTATTATACACATGGATTCTGGAGGGCAGGAGTTTAGACATGGCAGAGCAGAGATGGCTTGTCTGTTCCATGATGTTGAGGACACAGCTAGGAAGACTCAAAAGGCTGAGGCTGACTTGGTACCTTAGGGCTGAAACCATCAGGAAGCATCTTCACTCCTGTGATGGAAGCCTGGGCTGGACCTGTAACCAGGAGTACCTGCTCATGGCTCTCCATGTAGCTTGGGCTTCCCCAGAGCACGGCAGCTCCAGGACAGTTAGAAGCCTTACATGGTGGCTGAAGGTTCCAAAATAAGTGCCTTAACCTACATGATCCTATTAAGCAATATCACCCTGATAAATTTAATTTTTTTTAAAGTAAAAAAAAAAGAAAAAAAGCAAGTATCCTAGGGACAAGGCAGAAGCTGCACTGCCTTCTACCTCCTAGCCTTGAATCCCATGTGGTTTCACTTCTGCCACTCTCTACTGGTTGAATCAGTCATAAGCCTACACAGATCCCAGAGGAAGGGGACAAAGACCCCACCTTCAACAGAAGAATAGTCAAAATTTTGCAGGCATCTTTTAAAATGACTACTATTAGGACTGTCTGTAAACCCTGTTCTCACCACCATTCAACACAACCCTGTCACCAACACCACTTGCCCAACTGCAAGTCTCCAGAGAAAGGGCAAGCAGTTCCTCAGGAAGACACCAGAAACATTTGGGCCAGCCCCAAGTAAGTCCCCCAAAATGGGAAGAAGAGCCTAAAACGGTACTGAAAATTGCCCAGATTTTGCTGGATATCATTAGTATCTTAATGATGTCTTATGTTCAACAAATACTTCCTAAGCAGCTGGTTGGCTATGTTTCAACTGGATATGGGGCAACTAGGACAGCAACTCCAAGGAGCTTAGGTGCTTATAAGAAGAAGCCACTTAGAAGAGGTGTGAGCATAAGAAGCTGCAGTTCCACACAAGAGTTACAGCATCCAGGGCCACACCAAGAATAGGAGCCATGAGTTTCTCCATGCTTCCCAGAAACTTCTGGATTTTCTTTGCTAATAATTTCACATACCACAGCCCCGATAACAAGAGCTTCCTCAGTATAACTGTTCCCTCAGACTGCCATTCCTGGGGCCTTGGTGTATTCAAAAGACACTCAGAACTAGAGAAACAGAAAGCAAAAACAAATGAACTTAGTCAATAACCAAAAAAGTGACATAAAGAAGCAGCCAAGAAATGCAGACATGGGAGTGGTAGGAGAACAAGACAAAATCTTTCATGGTCAGAGGTCTGTAGGGGCAGAGAGTGGGAGTGATGACTGACAGGTAGGAGAAAAAGACACAGAGTACTGAGTAGGAGAAACAGGTGACCCATCACCCTCATCTCCAAAACACCATGTGACCAAAAGGCAGGTGCCTCCTCACATTGAGACATCTCATTACAACAGTACCCTGAAGGCTGGCCCACTTCCCTGCCACATCCTGGGAGTAAGGCTGGTCTTCCCTGGAGGATAAGACATGAGGTTTGTTGGGTGAGTGAACAGTTTCTCCCTTGGTCCAGGGGAGCATCTTTCCTTTTGGTGATATCTTCTCCGAGGCCAGGGTGAGGCACAGAGGGCCTTCCTCTTCAGGTGTTCCCAGGCTCATACAGTCCACTTCAGGCACCTACAGGTAGAGGAAGCCCAGGATGAAGGGAGGGTCTGGAGGCTGTGGGGTGTAGGAGGAAGACTGTGTGGACCTGGGGCATATTCCAAGCTAACCTGGTCTCCTGGTGGGTGCCTAGACAGCGTACAGTGCAGTACCGGGCACCACAGCTGACACAGGTGTATGGGGAGGGGAAGCCGCATACAGCACAGAAGGGGCGCTGGGGCCGGGATGGGGGTCCTGCACAAGCCGTCAGGTAGTTGGGGCCCTCAGCCACACTCAGGTTCTGCAGATACAAGACGGTAGGCTCCACAACTCGTCCACCCACCCACATAGCAAACAGTCCACCCACCCACATAGCAAACACCCACCAAGGGCTCAGCCCTTCTCTGTGGGCTCAGCCCTTCTCTGTGGGTTCCTCCCTGCCAGCTCCTCTCTCACCTGCTCCTCCAGCAAGGCCTGAAAGTTTTTTCGAAAGCGAAGTTTAAAATGATCACCTCGAGTTTTCTTCTTTTTCTTTCCTAGAGTTCAAGAACAGTAAGTTACCTGGCACATTCCAAATAAGACACCATTTTTCTCCATCCCATCATTCCCAATGCCCTTATGTCCATTCTCTGCCCGCATACTCACCTGGGCTCTAAGTAGGCCTCTGTCTACCATCCTTTTCCCTTCTCCCAACTTCTCCAATCCCAGCCTCTTCATTTCTACACTCCCTAAATCTAAGACTTTAGAGCTGGAAATTCAGAACTCATCTACTCCATCTTCTTCTTTTTTTTTTTTTTGTTAATCCTCACCTGAGGATATTTTTTCCATTGATTTTTTTTTTTTTTTTTTTTTTAGAGAGAGTGGAAGGAGGAAGGGAGGGGAAGAGAGAGAGAAAGAGAGAATAACATTGATGTGAGAAAGACACATTAATTGGTTGCCTCCTGCATGCACCCCAACTGGGGCCAGGGATTCAACCTTCGGCCTTGTCTCCCCAACCCCACCCGCCTCACCAGTGTCTGCATCATCATCAAATTGAGGCAGCCTTTTGCCAAGCTGGGGGAGTCCTGCATGGGGGTCATCCTGGAAGTTGTCATTCTCCAAGGCCTCAAGCTGCCTGTTGATGCGGCGCTGCCGGGCAGCCCTGTCCAGCACCCGCCGCTGTCCAGGGTCCTGGGAGCGAACTAGATAAGACAGAGCCAGAAGGGTTATGGGAAGGGGGCGCAGAGAAGAGAGCAGCTGAGGTGACCCTGGCTCTGGGAAGTGTGTGGATGATGTCCATGGGGTGTGGAGCCACAGTTCTCTGATCTCATCCTAGTCACCGAGCTCTCAGCCCCTATATCTTCTACCAATACAGTAGTTCCACCTTATCCATGGTTTCACTTTCTGCAGTTTCAATTACCTGCAGTCAAACATGGTCAGGAAATATTAAATGAAAACGGAAATAAGCAATTCACAAGTTTTAAATTGTGCACTGTTTTGAGCAGGTGTGGTTGTAAGAAGCTCTAGTACCACCCAAGAGTTACACCATCCACAGCCACAAGAATAGGAGCCTGTGATGAAATCTCATGCCAACCCACTCCGTCCTGCCTGGGATGTGAATCATCCCTTAGTCCAAGTATCCAGGCAGTATACAGTACCTGCCCGTTAACCACTAGATAGCCATCTCAGTTATCAGATCAACTGTCGTGGTATTACAGTGCTTGTATTCAAGTAACCATTATTTTACTTAATAATGGCCCCAGCCCTGGCCGGTTTGGCTCAGCGGTTAGAGCGTCAGCCTGCGGTCCAGAGAGACCTGGGTTCAGTTCCCACTAAGGGCATGTACCTCAGTTGCAGTTTGTCCCCAGCCCTGATTGGTCTTGAGGGTGGCAGCCACTCGATGTGTCCCTTTCACGTCGATGTTTCTCTCTCTCTCTCTCCCTCCCACTCTATCTGAACAAAAAATGAAAAAATGTACTCAGGTGAGGATAAAAAAATAATAATAATGGCCCCAAAACACAAGACTAGTGATGCCAAAGATATGCCAAAGAGCAGCTGTACAATATATGTACGTATGGGAAAAAAATATATGTATAGAGTTCAGTACTATCTGTGATTTCAGGCTCCAGTGGAGATCCTGAAACTTTTTCCCCATGCATAAGGGGGGACTGTATATCAGCCACTCTGGTTTGCTTCCTTCCTAGCTAACTAAGACAGCCATTTCAGTCACTCATGCATGTTTTCTGTCCCTTTGGCCCCAGCCTCTCCTCCCAGTGCCAGATGATCCAACCAATGAAATGCTGACAGAAATCACACAACCATGCTGACGAGACAACTGCACACTCAGAGCTTCCAGGCTCCACTGGGACCTAATGCACTTGGCCTTCATGCTCAGCAATTTCATTTCCTACCTCAGAGGAAATGACACATAGAGACATTCATCTTTTAGCCCACCCTCAATCATAATTGCTTGGGTGCCCTCCTCATCAAGTCTCACTGCTAAAACCAGTCCTTCCACCTCCAGCTGAGACCTTCTCTCCTTCTTGCATCTTCAAATCTCCTCTTCAGCTGGTATTTTTCCTTCAATGAAAAACCCTACTAAACTCTCTCATGTCCACCAAACCTCACAGCTGCTCTTCTCTAACAGAGTGGCTCTCTCATCCACAAGCAAATGACTCCAAAAGGGATTCTCTCAATCCAGAACCTTCTCTTGAGCTCCAAAACTGACTATTCAACTGGCTGCAAAAAAATTACCTGCTGACCCCATTGACACTGCAACTCAAAATAAAAAATATTCCCACCCAAGTCTGCTTCTCCTGTAGATGCTCTTTAAGTGAATGGAACCATCTACATAGACATCCAAACCAAAAACCTAAGAGTTATTTTAAACCTCTCTTTATTACCATATCAGCCGTTCACCAGGTTCTGATAATTCTACACAAAATCCCTTTATTCATTAAACAAATATTTATTGACTGCCTGTAACCATTATAGCATCAATGCCAGTGGCTAACACTTACTGGGATTACTTTGAGTCAGGTACCAAATTAAGCTCTGCATAAATGGAATCCTTTAACCCTTACAACAACCCTATGGGACAGGTATTATTATCATCCCCAGCTTACTTAACTTTGCATAGTAAGTGGCTGGGTCAGAATTCAAACGCCAAACTGCCCAGCATAAAAAAAACCACATGTTCTTTTTTTTTTTTTTTATCCTCACCCGAGGACATTTTTCCATTTTTCGTTCAGGTAGAGTGGGAGGGAGAGAGAGGAAGAGAGACAGAGAGAAACATCGATGTGAAAGGGACACATCGAGTGGCTGCCACCCGCACAACCGACCAGGGCCGGGGACAAACTGCAACCGAGGTACATGCCCTTAGCGGGAACCGAACCCGGGTCTCTCCGGACCACAGGCCGACGCTCTAACCGCTGAGCCAAACCGGCCAGGGCTGTTCTTGATCACTGCACTATACTGCCTTCCTTCCAAGTGCCAGGTTGTACCTTAGGCTCTTGGAATACAACCAGAGCCCACAGTCTAGCAGGGAATACAAATCATAAAACAAGAATGATAAAGCATAGTATGTGCTAGTATTAGGGAAGTACAAGTACAAAGTGCTACAGAGCACATGACAGAAACACCTGGCCTGGCCTTGGGGTAGTCAGAAGATTTTCAGGAGGAAAAGTAAGTTCAGTTTGAGGCCTGACTGATGAATAGAAGTTAACCTGGTTGGGGAGAGGGAAGGGTGTCTCAGGCTTTGATACCAACATGAGAGAAGGTGTGGATGAAGACTGTGGTGCCTTCAATAAATTAAAAGTTCTATATGGCTGGTATATAAAATGTGTTTAAGAATCTTTAAGTATCTACAGGAATTTGGATTTGGGGATTTTATGTTGAGGGTGACAGAAATCCAGTGAGGGGTTTTAAGAAAGGAGTGCAATGACTGGATTTACTACTAATCAACTGGAGGTGTTCTGCTGCTCATGTCTTTTTATCTGGAGTACTTAATTGCTTTCTAACTGGCCTTCAAGCCTCTAGAACCTGTGCTATACAACAAAGCAGCCAATAACATGTGGTCATTTACAGTTAGATGTAGGTTAAAATGAAGTAAAATTTAAAATTCAGTTCCTCGATTGCACTAGCCACATTTCAAGTGCTCAACAGCCACATGGAGCTAATGGCTGCCATGATGAACAGCCATTAAGAACATTCCCATCAGCCCAGAAAATTCTACTCGACAGCACTGCTCTAGTCTCTCCAATCCATCCTCTGCAATAAAGCTAGGGCTGCCTTTCTAAAAGATGAATTTGTTTCAGTCACTCCCCTGACTGAAAAGCCCTTGATGGCGGCTCTCCACTGCCCTCAGAGTTCAAATTCTTCGGCAGTGTATATAATGCTTTTCCCTAGCCCTCTAGTTTCTTTTACTACTTCTCTGCAAGCCCCAAACAGTGAACTCGGTTTCCTAAGCGATTTGCTTTTTTCTTGCTTTCTTGCCTTTACAAATGCGGCTTCTTCTGCCGGGAATAAGTCCCCGCGCACCTGCACACAGCGAAACCTAGACTTGCAAACATCCTCCTCCCTTCCAAGCCTTCATGGTTCCTTCCTTTCCAGAAGCTGGATTGGGTGCCACTCCTCCATGCGCCAGGCGCTGTGCATCCCTCTGCCATAGCACGTATGAAACACGACGATAGGCCTGCATGTCTGTCCCTCTCCCAAAAAGCCAGTTCTAGGAAGATAAAGATCTTTTTTCCTTTCTCCATCCCCAGCGCCCGTCTTGGAGCAGGCGTCAATAAAACGTGAATGGATGGTTTGGGCGCTGCCCCGATACCAGGATCCAAGGGCCCGAGAAGGGATTTGAGACTAATAACTGAGTGAGAAAACCTTAATCCAGGTTCTGATTGGAGACAAGGAAGGGAGCCAACCCCCGGGGTCTCACATACCCGAAGTTTTCTTCTCCACCATTTCCACAACACAGCTGACGAAAGAGGCTATTGCGCACGCGTGCTAAACCAACTGCTTTTGTAAGTGCACCGTCACTTCCGGCGACGAGTGCTTCTGCGCGTGCGCAAAACTACGCTTTGCCGCTTTGTTCCCTTGGAAACGAGCAAGCTTTCTGCCATCTTTCTTAGGGGCAAAAGTACTTCTGGCCTCAGTGCAGTTTTGTATTTTATGGAAGCCCTGAAATGGATCATTTTGAAGATGTGGTGCCAGTGGTCTTTCGAGAAACGTCATTTTCCTTTGGTCCTTCTTTAGATGCCATTATCACAAAGACAGCCCCTGCAGCTTCTTCAAGGGCAGTAGAGATGACAAGCGGGAATCCCAAAGACTGTGAGCAGGTTTCAGTGGGCAACACGAGAGGTCCCGTATGACCCTCCGCCGACACTTCAACCCCTAGCTCCCCCAGGGTTTCAGACTCCGCGGTCTTCTCCCTCCCTTCCGCCCGCTCCTCCACTCGTCCGGGCTCCATGCTCCCCCACAACCTCGCTCTCCATTCTTCCGTCCCGCCACTGGGGCAGGGCTGTAGCAAAGCTCCGCCTCCCCGTTTCGTCGGACCCGTGAGGGGTCACTTCCCCTCTCCGGGTTTCAGTTTTCTCCGGTGTCCGGTGAGCAGTGGGCTGGGCTGTCTCTGACCCAAGTCCTCAGCTCGCGATCGGCGGCTCTAGCCCCCGCCCCTCTTCCGCCTCGCGGCCCAGCGGCCCCTCCGCTCGCTCCGCGCAGCCCACGCGCCTGCCCCCCGGGACAATCCTCGCCTTGTCTGGGACTCCGACATCTAGAGTTTTCTGTAGCCTCCGGCTACGCCTTTTTTCCAGGGCGGAGCCCCAGCCCAGCTCCTCCTCGCGGTGGGCCGCACAGAAGCCCGGTCGCCTTCCAGAGCCCCCGGCTCGGTAGTTGGGATCCTGGCGCGTAGTCGGCGCCCGGTGCGAGCCTGTGTGCGGTCTTGGCCAGCTCCCCTCGATGGCCTCCTGGGGCCCGGGACTTCAGCTTCTGCTGCTACTGCTGCCGCTGCCGCCGCTGCCTCCTTTGGCCTCGGCCTCCGACCGTCCCCGGGGCGGTAACCCTGTCAACCCAGGTGAAACCCCCAAGGAGAGCCGAGTGAGCTCCAGGCTGACAAGACTGCCCGCCGGGGCTTGGGGGAAAGGGTGGGGCCTCTCATTCGCCCAGCGTGCTCCTTGGGACAGAACCGCTCACTCCCGACTCTGAACTAAAGTTTCCAGCCTCCCGTGCTAACTGACCCGGAATTCCAGGGTGTCACTCCCATACCGTTCTCACTGGGGTCGGAAGTTTCTTTGGGCGAAGATTTTAAGAGGGAATTGGGGGTGGGGGGAGGAGTAAGGGACAATAGCAGAGTTTGAAGGAAGGGAAGGGGGCCTGAGGTGAGTGGAGCACGTTGGGCAGTAAGCTGGGTGAGTGGGTCTCGAATCCTAATTCCCGACTGGTGACAGAGAAGTTGCTGGTGATCACCGTGGCCACAGCCGAGACAGAGGGATACTGGCGTTTCCTGCGATCCGCGGAGTTCTTTAACTACACAGTGCGGGTAGGAGAGGAATGCCCTTGTGGACGGTAGGAGTGGGGGGCAGTGATTTCCAACTGGAGGAGTGGGCTGAGGGCTGGATGCCTGGGGCCCCACGGTGAGCCTGGCCAGCTGAATCCCTCCCTCGCATGACGGCTCTACCCCCATAGACCCTGGGCCTAGGAGAGGAGTGGCGAGGGGGTGATGTGGCCCGAACAGTTGGTGGAGGACAGAAGGTCAGGTGGCTGAAGAAGGAAATGGAGAAATATGCAGACCAGAAGGATATGGTCATCATGTTTGTGGACAGGTAAAGGGGCTGGAGATGGGGAGGAAAGGGTGGGGCAAACAAAAGGAAGAAGGTGTGGATACTAAGGTTCCTAGTGGCTGTCCTGTTCATCCTCCCCTTCCTTGCCAGCTATGATGTGATTTTGGCTGGCAGCCCCTCAGAACTGCTGAAGAAGTTCGTCCAGAGTGGCAGCCGCCTGCTGTTCTCTGCGGAGAGCTTCTGCTGGCCTGAGTGGGGGCTGGCAGAACAGTACCCTGAGGTGGGCACGGGGAAGCGCTTCCTCAACTCTGGTGGTGAGTGGCAGAGTGCCAGAGGCAGAGGGACCAAGAGTGGTGGGATATGGAGTGTTACAGGTGCCTGGGGGCCAGAGGGAGTGAAGACAGGTTCATGGGCCCAGGGAGTCTTGAACTCAGCACCTCTCCTACCCCCACAGGATTCATTGGCTTTGCTCCCACCATCCACCAAATTGTCCGCCAGTGGAAGTACAAGGATGATGATGATGATCAGCTGTTCTACACTCGACTCTACCTGGACCCAGGACTGAGGGTAGGGAGGGACAGAGGAGGTATGACCTCCTGCAGCTCTATGGGGGTGGCAGGCCTTAGGCTGACTGGAGGGAAGGGGTAAAGAGGCTTTAGGGAAGATGTAAAGAGAAAAGAGTGAGAAATGATGTCCTACTCCTTCTTGCATTAACTGCACCATCTTATCCCATCCAGGAGAAACTCAGCCTTAATCTGGATCATAAATCCCGGATCTTTCAGAACCTCAATGGGGCTTTAGGTGAGGAAAAAGGCAGTCAGAAGGGGAGATGAGAGAGGCTACTGGGGGTCCTGAATTAGGGAGGGGCTCCTGGTGGAACTGGGATTGTCTTCAACTTACCTTATGTTAACTTCATCAAACGCCTGAATGGCTGATAAAGTTGCATGGTGCTAACAGTAGTAAAAGCGGTGGCGGTCATACCTAACTTCTATGGAACGTACTATGTACCAAGGCCCTGGGCCAGGGGCTTTACTTCTGTAATTTCATTAACACAACAATCCTACAAAGGAGGGCTAGGGTCCGTGGTTATCTACCTGTTACAGATGAGGAAACTGCTTCTCTGGGGGGCTGGTGACTTGCCCAGGTCACACTGGTAGTAAGTGGAGGAGATCCCCAAAGTGGCATCAGAGTAGCTGGATTCCCCCATATTTAGAAGCACCTGCTGTTTGGCAGCTTCAAGAGAAAGGGAGTCTAAATCCTGGCCTTTCTTCCCCAGATGAGGTGGTTTTAAAGTTTGATCAGAATCGTGTGCGTATACGGAATGTGGCCTATGACACGCTTCCTGTTGTGGTGCATGGGAACGGTCCCACTAAGGTGCCCCAATGGCTCATACCCTTAGCCCCAGACTCTGCCCCAGTCCTTCCTGAACTCAAGCCTGGTCCAAGCTCCTGCCCCATACCTGGCCCCTTCCCCAGCCCCTTACCCCTGTCCCAGGCGTGGCCCCACAACCTCTGTCCCTGCCCCAGACCTAGTCCCAGTCCCTGGTCGCCTCCAACCCTTCTGAGTACTTGGTCCTTCCCAGCCCCAGCAACAGAGGTGCTAGGTGAGGTTCTAAGTGTCCACTACTCCCTTCCTTGTTCCTGTCTGTCTACCTGACCTCCCTCATCTCTGATCCTGGGCTCCTCTGCCTCAGCCTCTCTCCCTGTCTCTCCCAAAAGCTCCAGCTGAATTACCTGGGAAACTATGTCCCCAATGGCTGGACTCCTGGAGGAGGCTGTGGGTTCTGTGACCGGGACCGGAGGACACTCCCGGGGGGGCAGGTGAGGAGGGTAGGGCAGAGCACACTGAAACAGGGTGTGCAGGGAGAACATGCTGGGCAGCACTGAGGGGGCAGAGTTCCTGGGAACCCCCAAACCTTGTCAGGTTATAGAGGACAGACCAGGTGGGAGTACCAAGCTGTCCTCTGAGCCCTGTCATGTATCTTCCAGCCACCCCCCCGGGTGCTTCTGGCTGTGTTTGTGGAACAACCAACCCCGTTCCTGCCCCGCTTCCTGCAGCGGCTGATGCTCTTGGACTATCCCCCCGACAGGATCACCCTCTTCCTGCATAACAACGTGAGACATCCTGGCAGCCTCTCTATGTGGGCCCTTCCAAGGGACCTGCCCAGATCAGAACTCCCGATCCCCACTCCCAGATTGCTTCCTATACCCTGCTCATTCACCCACTTTCCCATCCCATCCCCCAGGTACTATCTTTCTGCCCTCTCAGCACCTCCCCCACTTCCTTCCCTCTCCAGGAGGTATACCATGAGCCCCACATTGCAGACTCCTGGCCCCAGCTCCAGGACCACTTCTCAGCTGTGAAGCTTGTGGGGCCAGAGGAGGCCCTGACCCCAGGCGAGGCCAGGGACATGGCCATGTGAGTGAGACCTGGGCAGGGAGGACTGGGGAGGTACAGGGGGTGGAGGTAGGGAGACTGCCATCCACTGCACCACCCTTCCTTCTCCATCCACCGTCCAGCTTCTCTGTGCCCTTCACAGTGCTGCCCGGTCACCATATGTCCTGTCCCTCCCTTGCCCTTATCTCATAGACTGAACAACGCGGTGGTCGAGAGTGAGGGGGAGTTTCACCCACTCGGCAGTCCTCTCCTCCCCCCACCTGCTTCCGTTTCAGCTCCTCTGTCCTCTGTCACCTCCAGGGACAGGTGTCGGCAGGACCCTGAGTGTGAATTCTACTTCAGTCTGGACGCTGATGCCGTCATCACAAACCAGCAGGCCCTGCGCATCCTCATTGAAGAGAACAGGTTGCTTGCCTGGCTCAGCCAGAAGACCCCCAAGTAGTCCCCTGGGAACCCCTAGCTCCTTCCCTGGGCATGGAGCTTGTCTCTGCCCAGTCCTCACATCCACCTGTTCATAGGAAGGTCATAGCACCCATGCTGTCCCGCCACGGGAAGCTGTGGTCCAACTTCTGGGGAGCACTGAGCCCTGACGAATACTATGCACGCTCCGAGGACTACGTGGAGTTGGTGCAGCGGAAGCGAGTGTGAGTCCTGCCAGGGCTGCAGCCCCTCTCCTCCCACCTGGGCCTGAACAGATGCCTGCACCCTCTCCCAAGGCCTCGGTCTCAGGGATCTGGCAGAACTGTGGGGCAAAAACTGACTGGAGCGGGACACTAGTGGGTTGTGACCAGCAGTACTTGACAGGAAGTGAGAGGCCTCCAGGCTCTGAGAGTGGGGTGCCCTGAGGGAAGGGGCTTTTAGGCTGAACTGGGCAGAATTTTAGGGGCCATCCACCTAACTGACCCTAGTGTGTGTACTTCCAGGGGCGTGTGGAATGTGCCCTACATTTCTCAGGCATATGTGATCCGGGGGGAGACCCTAAGGGCAGAGCTGCCCCAGAGAGAGGTGTTCTCCGGCAGCGACACTGACCCAGACATGGCCTTCTGTAAGAGCCTGCGGGAGAAGGTGAGCAGGGCAATAGGATCAGTGCTGGGGTCCTGGGAGGCAGCCAGCTACCTTGTGTCTCTCCTTCTCACACCCTTTCCCCACTCCAGGGTATCTTCCTCCATCTCAGCAATCAATATGAATTTGGCCGCCTCCTGGCTACTTCCCGGTATGACACAGACCACCTGCACCCTGACCTCTGGCAGATCTTTGACAACCCCTTGGTGAGTGAGGGGCCCCTCACCAGAGTGTAATGCCCTTCACTATAGGAAGATGCACGTGGGCGGGCATGCACACCCTTGCAGGACCTGCCACTGCCCAGGGAGGGGCCGTCCAGGTGCTGGGTCTTCCTGGGAGGGACCTGATGAAGAGGATACACATAAAGGTGTGCTTCCCTGCTTCCTCCCCAGGACTGGAAGGAGCAGTATATTCACGAGAACTACAGCCGGGCCCTGGAAGGGGAGGGACTCGTAGAACAGGTGAGCCCCACTCAGCATCCCTGACTGCCCTGATAGCCATCACCCCTTGGGTCCACCGTCTGGATTAGTGGTTTCCAAACTGACTTCCCCCAGGCGCCCTAGGGTTTTCTGCCCAGGCAAGATGAAGGCAAAGGCCGATCAGATAGGCTTTCAGCTCCCCACCCCTGCATTAGTCAGTGAGCCTCTCTTGTCTGTTGGTCATATTGGTGTTATAGGCAAAATTACATTTTTGTAGAGAAGTTTGAAAAGCACTGTTCTGGATTCTGGGGCTCCAGGACTCTCCTGCCACTGCGCTGTGCTCTCAGTGCTGCTCCCATTGCCTCTGGCCCAGCCTCTGTGGCCCAAGCCCTTCATGTGGCCCATCTGCATGCTCAGATCCCCACTCTCCTCGCTTCTCTCATGTCCTGCCTTCCCTTTCTTCTCCCTGCCTTTTCCCTCCTTCGTTGGCTGCCTGTCACCTCTCCCCACCCCATCCCTGAGTGTCATCCAGCCCTGCTCTTACCCTGCCCTGTTCTCAGCCATGCCCAGATGTGTACTGGTTCCCTCTGCTGTCAGACCAAATGTGTGATGAGCTGGTGGAGGAAATGGAGCACTATGGTCAGTGGTCAGGAGGCCGGCATGAGGTGAGAGGGGCTCGGGCAGGGGAGGAGGGAGGACCCTTCCAGGAGGAGGAAGTTGCTGGGTCTAATGAAGGGAAATAGTATCAGAAGAGTGGGAACAGAGAGGGGTCCCCAAGGGGACAGGGTCCACAAGGGTCACAAGTGCATTTATTTGTATATTCACTTATGTATTAAAGTTCTTAGTGGGCAGGTCCTCGATGCAGCCACTGACCGGTGGGCAGGCACACTGAGGAGCTGTGCAGACTCTGTCCTCACCTGCGGCTGTCAGCAGCAGCAGTCCGGGTTCTGTAGGAGCCACAGGAGGGACCCTTGGCCCAGACTTGAAGGGACCAAGGGACCTCACAGAAGAGGTGCCATCTTAGCTAAGACTTAAAGGGACAATAAGAGTGAGTCAAGCTAGCCCTGGCCTGTTTGGCTCAGCTGTAGAGCATCGGCCTGAGGACCAGTGAGTCACAGGTTCAATTCTGGCCTCGGTTGCGGTTTGTCCCTGGCCCTGGTCAGGGTCATGTGGGAAGCAACCAGTTGATGTGTCCCTTTCACATTGATGTTTCTCTCTCTCACCCTTTCTCTCCCTCTCTCTCGCTCCCACTCTATCTGAAGATAAATAGAAAAATGTCCTCTAGTGAGGATTAAAAAAAAAAAAAAAAAGAGTGAGTCAAGCTAAGAAGTGGTTGAGGCTGTTCTGGATGAGGAGACACAGGCTTTAGGGCCTGGGAGCAAGAGGAGACGGGAGGCTGGCACTGCTCTGTCAGCGGCTCAGTGCCCACTGTCCACAGGACTCAAGACTGGCTGGGGGCTACGAGAACGTGCCCACCGTGGACATCCACATGAAGCAGGTGGGCTATGAGGACCAGTGGTTGCAGCTGCTGAGGACATACGTGGGGCCCATGACCGAGAGCCTGTTCCCAGGCTACCATACCAAGGTGGGCCACTGCTCCTGCCACCCCTGCTCCCTCAACCTTCCCACACCCCTGACCCAATTGGAAGTTTTGACACAGCACCTTTTTAGCCCCTGAAGCATTTGGGGCTCCATGAAAAGAGCTATAGGAGGGCAGCCCTGGGGGGAGGCTGTTTGACCCCTGCGGCCACTCTTATGACAGGAGCTGTTGCTTCCTTAGAAGAGCCCCTGGACCTGAGGGTCACCCCTTGGGCCTTTTTCTCACGTCCCCACAGACCCGGGCAGTGATGAACTTTGTAGTCCGCTACCGCCCAGATGAACAGCCCTCTCTGCGGCCACATCACGATTCATCCACCTTCACTCTCAATGTTGCTCTTAACCATAAGGACCTAGATTATGAGGTGAGTCCCTAGTGTCTTCCCACTTCAGGGCACCGCCAGGGTCCCTGTGTGTGTGCGCGCATGCGTACACACACACACACACACACTCTCTCTCTCTCTCTCTCCCACCGGAACCCTGTGTCCACTCCCTCATAACCCTGAATGCAGCCCTGTCGCCCTCCCTGCCTACCGCCTGCCCTCTGCACATTTCAGTTACTTTGCTGGTATCCGCTCCTGGATTACTTCCAGGCTAGCTACCTCTGCCTGTGTCTCCTTGTCTGCTGGCACCCCAAACCCTGCATTCCCCCTCCCTTATCCCTTTGGTCTGCCTCTCATGTCCTTGTATCCATCTGTCCCCAGCCTGTGTCTGCTCACTCTCCCCTTCTGTCCCCTTCCCAGGGAGGTGGCTGCCGCTTCTTGCGCTATGACTGTGTGATCTCAGCCCCACGGAAGGGCTGGGGGCTCCTACACCCTGGCCGTCTCACCCACTACCATGAAGGGCTGCCTACCACGAGGGGCACTCGCTACATCATGGTGTCCTTTGTCGACCCCTGACACTCAACCACTCCGCCAAACCTCTCCTGCCATCGTGCCTTCTTGTGCCCCAATCCTTGGAGGAAGGGGTCTGTCTAGCTCCTCGCTTACTGAGTGTATGTTTGGTGTGTCTGGGACTGGATGTCTCACCTCCGCCCCACCCAACACAGAGCCCTCTCAAGAAGCTCCTGGAGCCCCCTCGTTCCTCCCCTCAGCCCCCAAGGTTCATGGGGAGAGAGCTTCTGGGGGTTCCCCATGTGATAAATTATTTTTTCTTAGCCTCACTCCCAATAAAGGAGAATTTGTAATTCTCGAGTCCATTTATTGTCTTTTATCTACCTATTGACCTCGTACTCCTCCTGCCACCCAGAGCAGAGAGAGACCAGACTTACTCCAAAGAAAAAGAACAAAGAGGCCCGGCCGGTATGGCACAGTGGATTGAGCGTCATCCCATGGACTGAGAGGTCCCAGTTCGATTCCCGGTCAGGGCACATGCCTAGGTTGCAGGCTCAGTCCCCAGTGAGGCGTGTGCAGGAGGCAGCCAACTGATATTTCTCTCCCACATTGATGTTTCTCTCTTTCTCTCCCTTCCTCTCTCAAAAATAAATAAAATAAAAAAGAACAGAGAAAAGGAAAAGGCAGAAGCAGAATGTGTGGGAACCTGGAAGCGTCCCTGGATCCCTGCCCTTTATTGCCTGAGCTGGAGAAGTGCCTTAGACGGGCCAAACCAAAAGCACTTCACTGTCACGTTCAGTTGAAAGCCACCCACCACCCAGCCTCTGCACTCTTCTCCCTAAAGGCATCTTTCATCACTTGATGGCATCTCCTTTGCATGAAGGGTGGATGGCATATCCCTGCGCTGGGCTCCAGGGAGAGTGCTCAGAGAAGGCGGGCTCCACGGAGGCGTGTGTCCTATGAGGGAAGGCAGGCAGGGGCCCCACTGCCACTGCCGGGACCTAAGCTTTTACTTGGGGGTTATCAGGAAAGGGAAAGCCCCGTTGGGTCATTCCAGGGAAAGCTTCCTGGAAGAGGAATATGAAGCAGCCTTGAAAAAGAGACCTCCTGAGAGCAAGTCTTGCTTCCAGCCTCTAGGGGGCCAACTAGACCTCTTCACCCAGGAACCCTTGAGGACAGCCAGCCACGCCCCTTCAATGTGGTCTTTCCCAGCACCAGCCTACCTTCCTGAATTTATCTCCCAACTGTTCCCTTGCAGAAGAAGCCTTTTTAAAACTAAACAGGGCCCTGGCCAGTTTGGCTCAGAGGTTAGAGCATTGGCCTGTGGTCCCGAGAGACCCGGGTTCAGTTCCCCTGCAGGGCGCGTACCTGGTTGGGTTGTGTGGGTGGCAGCCACTCGATGTGTCCCTTTCACGTTGATGTTTATTTCTCTCTTCCTCTTTCTCCCTCCCACTCTATCTGAACAAAAAATGGAAAAATGTCCTCAGGTGAGAATAAAAACCAAACAGACCCTGGCCAGTGTGCTAGGTAGTTAGAACGTTGGCCCACACACTGAAGGTTGATGGATCAATTCCAGCTCAAGGGCATGTGCGTGGGTTGCAGGTTCCATCCTTGGCCCCCCTGGGGCGGGTGTGAGGCAACCAATTGATGTGTCTCTCTCACATGGATGTTTTTCTCTTCCTCCTCCCTCCTTCCACTTTTTCTAATAAATCAATGGAAAAAATATCTTTACGTGAGGATTAACAAAAACAAAAACAGGCCTGTTTACCTGTCCCAGGAAATTTCCTGCCTCCTACACCTCACTTGCTGTCCACACTTTATTCTTGCCTCCTGCTCAGATTCCTAGGAAAACTTCCCTATGAAGCCTTCCTGCCTGGAGGTTGGGGCAAGTCACCTGAATGGATGGGTCACCTTACCATGTGGACTGAGCATTTCTCTGACCAGACTTTTTTTTAATCTTCATCTGAGGATATTTTTATATTTTTATCTTCAGACAGAGTGGGAGAAAGAGAGAGAGAGAGAAGTGATAGAGACACATCGACTGGTTGCCACCCTCACAACCCCAACTGGGGCCAGGGACAAACCACACCAAGGTACGTGCCCTTGGCTGGAATCAAACCCGGGACTCTTTGGTCTATAGGCCGATGCTCTAACCACTGGGCTGGGGCTCTGACCAGACTTTTAAGTTCATCTCACCCTGGTCCCCACTTCCTTCATCACATGCCCTGTGGATGGAAGTGGGCTGAGTAGGGACAGAAGAAAATACCTCCTGATAAGGTCCCTGGACAAGAAAGCCTGCACAAGAGTGGGGCAGAAAGGGTGTGCCAGCCTGAGCTGTTGGTCCTGGGCAACGGAAGCTGTCTCCTATAGTGGGTCTATGCATTTATAAAGCATCTCCCATCTGCCAGGCACCCATCAAAAGGGTTGCAGTGATGAGTAAATTACCTGCCTCTTGTTGCTTTAGCAGGGACCTTAATAAAAAAATGACTGTAATGGAGGGAAAATAGTTTATGCTAGGAGAGCATGTGACAGAGGCACTTGATAGGATGTGTGCCAGACTTTCCTAAGGAAGTGACATTCCCTATGCCAATGCATTCTGAACTTAACAAGGCCTGACCTCAAGAGAAACTATTTCACCAGAGTCTAACATATTGGAGTTTTATGAGAGCTTGACAAACCTGAAGAAAGGGAAATGTACAACTCGGCCCCCCCAGCCATCCTGTCTCGCCTGGAAGAGACTGAGAAGCATGGATGAGTTCACAGTCCAGGGATACATGTTCACTAAAAGACAGAGACTTTAGTCATAGGACTAGAGAATGCTTCCCTTTCCCCACACCTTATCGCCACATGGCTGAAGGCCTATTAACCATAGTTCCTTTTACCCAGTACATCATGCCTGGCTTTCAAACAAAAAACAAACAAACAAACAAAAAATGACAAGGCATACTAAAAGACAAAAAGCACAGTTTGAAGAGACAGAGCAAACATCATAACCAGACTCAGATATAGTAGTGATGTTGGCATTAGCACACCTGGAATAGAAAAATAAATAAAATAAGTGACCTTCCCTGACTTGGATAATGTACCAGCTCCCACAGGCCTCTGGTCACTGTTGGGTAAGGCCACAGTGACAGTGAGGACTGGCCCCAGCCCACTTGGAGGATGTGCCCACTGCTCAGTGGGCCCTCTCTTGAGGGGCTCCCTGTCCTTAGCTTTTCCCACAAGGCCTTTACCTCTGGAGTGGCTCCGAAGAGAGTCCTAGGCTGACTAAGGGGGTTCAAGTTGTTCTCACTCACGTAGGGAGTCCTGCTATTTGTGGCACACACAACTCTGGCAACCCCCCACTTTTCCAGACCTCTGCCAGCAGGCTCTTCACAGAGGTGGGAGGTTCTGACAAGCACAAAGTCCAAACACCTTCTTCACCCCACCCCCCATCCCTGCTCATTTCCAAGAGCTCAGGTAGTGGTTAACCCTTCCTTGCCTGGGCTCATCAGAGCCTAGTGTGTGAGCCAGCAAAGGAATCGAAAAAGGGGTGGAACCAGGGCCAGGGGTCAGGGCCAATGGATTGAGCTAAAAAGGAATGTGCTTAAGTGTCCATGGTGACCCCTGTGCAACTCCCCTGTACAGAATGCCGGCCTCTTCCAGCCGCTTCCGCAGGTGTCTCCAAGTGTTTGCTGTCCTACAATGGGTCTTCTCCTTCTTGGGACTAGGTGAGTCCCTGAAGCTCTGTACCTAACTTCTTCGCACACACATGGGGCTCTGCTTCCCCATTACCACAAGAGAGGGAGATGGGGCAAGGATCTCTGGGGTCCTTGAAGGAGAAAAGGAATTAGGTGGGGCAGGGAAGGGGGGAAAGGGGGAGACCTGGAACTTAAATGCCTGGATCCTGAGACCACCTTCCCCATCCTCCAGCCCAGGTGTGCCTGGCCTTGCTGATCTTTACACTCCTAGGCCAGGCCTGGATACTAGCTGTCCTCTACTTGGTCTGGCTCTATGGAGATAGGGACACTCCGCAGACAGGAGGTCGCCGATCTGCCTGGGTCCGAAACTGGGCCATCTGGAGACATTTCCGGAACTACTTCCCCATCTCGGTGAGGGTCCCCAGGAACCACCTGCTGGGTTGGGGACAGGGATACAGAAAATACCTTTCCTATGCCACTCCCAAAAGTCCAAACTCACTGCCAGGGTGGGGTGTGCACCCTCTGCCCCGCAGCTGGTTAAAACCGCACAGTTGGATCCCTCCCAGAACTATCTCTTCGGCTTCCACCCTCATGGCATCCTGGTCATCGGGGCTTTCAGCAACTTTTGCACAGAGGCCACCGGCTTCTCCCGCATCTTCCCTGGCCTCTGCCCACACCTGCTCATGCTGCCATGTTGGTTTCACCTTCCTCTCTTCCGGGACTACATCATGTGTAGTGGTGAGGAGTGGGGAGCCGGACCTCAGGAGCCCTCTCCCTGCTGTCACCTCTTACCTACGTCCCTCCCCTTTGGGGGGTCCTGGTCCCAGCTCTGCCTTCCCTGCGCCCTCTTCCTTCCCCTCTCCGCTAGAAGACCCAGGCAGCAGCCCGCCACCCCCCCTCCCCCCAGCCTTTACTGTTCCCCCAGGTTTGGTGTCTTCTACCAAGGCCAGCGCCGCCCACCTGTTGTCCCGGCCTGGGGGTGGCCAGGTGGCGGTCCTAGCCGTGGGAGGGCCCCTGGAAGCGCTGGAGGCAAAGCCCGGAGCGCTGAGCCTGCGGATCCGGAATCAGAAAGGATTTGTCAAGTTGGCACTGGAACACGGGTGAGGAAACCGCGCCCGGGCAGCCCTGTGCAGGCGGAGCTCAGCGCGCCCCCAGGCCTGGGGTCAGGCGAGTCTCTGCTTCCCCTAGGGCCTCTCTGGTGCCTGTCTTCTCTTTTGGGGAGAACGAGGTCTTCCAGCAATACCCGAACCCACCCGGCTCATGGGTTCGGAGGGCTCAAGAAGCGCTGCAGGGGCTGCTGAGTGTGTCCCTGCCGCTGTTCCACGGCCGCCTAGGCCTCCCCCTGCCCTTCCGCACGCCCATCTACACCGTAGGTGAGCCAGGGCCCGCCCACTCCTCGGGAGCTCGGACCCCTGCATTCTCCCCAGGCGGCGGTGACTGTCTGTGGTCGGGGCCTGAAATCCTGACTGCCTGCTGTGTGTCGGCCATGCTGGCCTCACCCCTTAGGCTGGCCTTTGACAACCGCCTGGGCCACGACCTCTGTTCTGGACGATCACAGCGGGCGGGAGGGAAGGAGACAGGGAGTCCCAGCCACCACTCTCTCGCTTCCGGTTCTGCCCACAGTAGGGGCCCCGATCCCGGTGCAGCGGAGCCCGCGGCCCAGCCGGGCGCAGGTGGACACGCTGCACGCGCTCTACTTGGAGCGGCTCACGATGCTGTTCGAAGAGCACAAGGAGCGCTACGGGGTCCCGGCGGATCGGCACCTGGTCCTCACTTAGGCCCACTGGGTGACTGTGGATGGGGGGTTGAAATTAAAGGTGGGAACAAACCCGCGGTGTTTGTGTGTTTGTACATCGAGGGGAGGTGTGTGCGCGGCTACTCAGCAAAGATCCACCCCCTAGTCCCTCCCTCAGGGCCTGGCAGAGGTAGTGGCCTAGACGCTCCTGGAGACCTACAAATAGATCCCGGGCACGGTTCAGGGGCCTGCTCCGCAGCAGTCGAGATTAGACAGTCCCAGTCGGGTTTCGGGGCTCCGCCAGCTGCTAGGGACCGGTCCTCCGGCTCTCCAGGGTCTTCTCAGTCACCTAGCACATTAGTTGCCTCACCTCCCTCGCACCTCCTCCCAGACCCACTCTGCAGCCAACTCAGACCAGAGGACTCAGGAAACTCAAAGCTCAGTCTGGGAACAGCCTGTAGAGGTCAGAATCCAAGGATCTCTTCGTCTACAACACCCCTGCACCATGAAAACCCTGAAGAAGCAGTGGCTGGAAGCAGTGAGTGCCTACCAATACGTGCTCCTGTTATTTCTCATCGGTGAGAGAAGTGGGAGAGGCATGGGTTCCTGGGTCTGCAAGGGGAGAAGGGACTGGGGGAAAGGGGGGAGGCTGGAGCACAACTTACCTGGATGCTCAAGGGCAAAAAGAGGGGGAGAGGACTGATGTGGGGCTGGGAGATATCTGGAGGATATGATCCGGGTGGAGGAGAGCAACCACTGGATGAAGTGACTGAATTTCAAAAGCGAATTCATTTTTCTTTCTCATTTTTCATACAGGCCCTTTTGTTCCCCTTCCTGTCCTCTTCCTCCTCTTCACACCCTTCTGCCTATTCTCTGTTCTCTACTTGGCATGGCTCTTCCTAGATAGGAACACACCCAACCAAGGTAAGTGCTGGAAGAGGGCCCATGCAGGGAGAGATGGCAGCTGGGTGCCTCCAGGGCTTCTTCCACTCACATGTTTCTACCCCTAGGTGGAAGGCGGTCTGAGTGGATGAGGAACTGGACCATTTGGAAACACTTCAGGGATTATTTTCCTATCAAGGTGACAAGTTATTCTCCAGAGAGACTCTCTGCCTCCTTCCTCTCCTCCACCTCCCCCATCTATTCACTTCTCCCCATGCTGGAGGCTGAGCCCCAGCTGCCTAAGCTAAGGCAATGGGGCAGGGGGTGGAGTGGTGTTCAAGAGTGGGCCCCCTGTATCATTGATCCCATACTAAGACCTTGAACTCTGAAGTCTGTTGGAGTGGAGGGCAACCCTTTTCAGTTGGTGTCCTGACTTCTGTTCTTTCTTCCCCTCATCCTGTCCAATACCCCAAAGCTAGTGAAAACAGTAGACCTGCCCCCTGACCGGAACTATGTGTTCGGCGTTCATCCACATGGGATCCTGAGCTTCGGAGCCTTCTGTAATTTCACCACAGAGAGCAACAACTTCTCCCAGCAGTTCCCTGGGCTTCGGCCCACAACAGCCACACTGGCTGGACTCTTCCGCCTCCCAGTCTATCGAGACTACCTCATGGGCTTTGGTGAGCCTCCAGCTGAGTGGGAGGAGGTGTTCTCTGGCCAAGGTGACCTCCTCCCACCTAGCTCAGGGACCTGGCCAGGCTCACAGTGGGCATCAGTGAATAGCTTTGGAGCAAGTGTCCTGTGGTGTCCTTGCTGGAACAGATATTGTAGGGCACAGAGATATAGGCATGGTGGGTAGGGGGATTTGGAAGGAATGGGATATGGGGACCACCCTTTAGATACTAAAGAGTAGAACGAGGGGCTGGGGAACCAAGGAGGGGGTGGTGACTGCTTTCCACCTTCTCATGCCTGCAGGATTATGTTCTGTGGACCGCCAGAGCCTGGACTTTATTCTGTCACAGCCCCAGCGTGGGCAGGCCATGGTCATCGTAATTGGGGGTGCACACGAAGCCCTGTTTTCGATTCCAGGAGAGCATCACCTCATTCTCCAGAATCGCAAAGGCTTTGTGCGCTTGGCGCTGAGGCATGGGTGAGTGGGGTGCTGGTACCCTGTCCAAGGCTGCTCTTAATTTTTTTTAATCCTCACCTGAGAATATTTTTCTATTTATTATCAGATAGAGTGGGAGGAAGGGGAGAGAGAGGAGAGAGAGAAACATCAATGTGAGAGAAATACATCGACTGGTTGCCTCCCACACAACCCAACCAGGGCTGAGGATAAACTACAACCAAGGTTCATGCCCTTGACCAGAATCTAACCCACAACTCATTGGTCCATGGGCTGACGCTCTAACTGCTGAGCCAAACTGGCCAGGGCCAAGACTGCTCTTAATGGTCAGAATTTTACAGTGCACCTGCAGGTCCACACTCTCCATCTCTACACACCCAGGTCCCCAATTGGTGGTTCTGTGTGTTCCTAGAATCCACTGGGCCCCAAACCTAGAAGGTGCTCATGTCAGTGCTTGAGTGTTTACTCTGCGCCAAGCACTATGTCTACTTTCCAGGCTTTCTCCCACTCCAAGAGAGTCAGAGTCATAACGCAAATAGCAGGTTTCAAAGCCTTCTCTGACACTATCTCAAAGGCAAGACCATAGGCATGTTTCTTTACCTGTGGAAAAGTTAATACCTGCCCTACAATGATGTAGTTGTAAAGACTAGATGAGGGCCCTGGCCAGTTTGGCTCAGCGGTTGAGCGTTGGCCTGAGGACCAGAGAGTCCTGGGTTCGGTTCCTGCTAGGGTCATGTACCACAAAAAAAAAAAACAAGACTAGATGAGGAAATGTATATATGAAGGTTCAGTACACAATCGTTTCTCAAGAAATATAAACCCCTTCTTCCAGATTTTTCTTTATAGCCATTGTCTTTTGCTTTAAAGGCCTTAGGAAGTGGAATTAGGAGGTGTAGGGAGGGTTATGCTGTTCTCTGGGGCTCCCATCTTGGGGTATTCCAAGAGCCACTGACCTGACCACCCCTCTTCTCTATTGTCTCCTTCCAAGGGCCTCCCTGGTGCCTGTGTACTCCTTTGGGGAGAATGATGTCTACAAATGTAAGACTTTTGCCACAGTCTCCTGGCAGCATCGGTGCCAGATCATCTTCAAGAATGTCATGGGCTTTTCTCCTTGCATCTTCTGGGGCCGCAGTCTCTTATGGGCCAACTCCTGGGGCCTGCTGCCCTTCCCTGTGCCCATCACCACTGTGGGTGAGTCCTCATCTCCAGGGAAGAGAGCTTCCATCAGCTGTGTGGGCAGCAAAGGCCTCTTGCCTCACCTGTTTCTTCTCTACCTGCAGTGGGCCGCCCCATCGAGGTGCCCCAGTGCCTCCATCCCACTGAGGAGGAAGTTGACCATTACCATAGGCTCTACATAAAGGCTCTGGAGCAACTGTTTGAGGAGCACAAGGAAAGCTATGGTGTCCCTGCTTCTACTCACCTCATCATCAAATAGCCCTGGCCTTGCCCTGCCCCCAGCCCCTGAGCTCCTAATTCAGTGCTCTGAGACACACACACTCCCACCTACAGCCATGTCCAGTCCTCCAATAAAAGCTAGTTCTCTCCCACCACTACTTTGTAGAATTGGATGTCTGCAGAGCTGACTCTCTGGCTCTGGGAATTAGCATGCCCAGGCATAATCAGCCCCCATTCTAACGTGTTACAGAGCTGCTGCCTTAGATTGGATATCAGGACTCTAAATTCTCCTTCCAGTGAGAGTTAATTCTGTTGCATGACCTTGCATAAGTCTCTTACCTTTTCTGGGTCCCTTCTCTGTAAATGAAGGTATCTGCTTAGCTAAGAGCTGTAGGACATTTGGACTGAGTTGTGGGGGGCACAGGAAGTTTAGGCTTTGAAGGGTAGGCAGGATTCAGGTGAGTGGAGAAGGTAGTATGGCTAGTGGGATACTTTGAGCAAAAGCTGAGCTTGGTCAAGGGTACCTGACAGTATGGAGAGTGGAAGGATCCCCCAGTGGTAGAAAAGACAGTTAAGTACATAGCTTGCTTCTCTGTATCTCCTCCTCATTCTTGAAGTTTCCTTGGGGCTGGGAGATCAGGTGAAGCAGGGATTTGTTCTACCAACATTCAGCCCTACTGCAAAGTCCAGCATAGGTCACCATTTACTCATTTGCTTAAAAGGATAGGACTATTGTGAAGATTAAAGAATTTAGATTTAGCCCTGGCTGGTTTGGCTCAGTGGTTAGAGCATTGGCCTGCGGTCCCGAGAGACCCAGGTTCAGTTCCCGCTAAGGGCATGTACCTTGGTTGCAGTTTGTCCCCCGCCCTGGTTGGGTCATGCAGGTGGCAGCCACTCGATGTATCCTTTTCACATCGATGTTTCTCTCTCTCTCTCTCTCTCTCTCTCTCTCTCTCTCTCTCTCTCTCTCTTCCTTTTTCTCCCTCCCACTCTATCTGGAAAAAAAAAAAAAAGGAAAAATGTCCTTGGGTAAGGATTAAAAAAAAAAAAAGAATTTAGATTTAGGGGCTTAAAACAGAGATTGGCAAAACATGAGCCAATGAGAGTTTGCTATCATCATCATCATCATTATCATTATTATGGGCATGGCATCAGTCAAATGAGAGGGTCAGGTTAAAAAGCTTAAGGGTCCTTATGTAGTCATAGCATCCTCTGACTTTTGTCAGTCCTAATTGTTGACTGGCTTTGTGTCTGTATCTAGGATTTAAACAAGAATAACTTGCTGGAATGTAATTGGAATGCAACTATATTTGTCTCCTACTTCCCCATAAAATGTATTCAGTGGAGAGATTTTCTCTTGTCCCTGGATGAAAATCTGAGCACTCCCAATACTTACCTGGGTCATTCTCAGGTGATAAGTTCTATATTCACTTTAAGTTGGTTCATAGAAATATTAAGTTCATAATCAACACTTGTATCTTCATCTAGGGGTAGGAATTTACTCCTCTCCAGCAATGGCTGGTTGCAAGTGGGCTGCCTGCTTACCCAGAAGTGATAGTTGGGGAAGGTGGAGTAGAGAGGAATAGGGGTGACCTCTTTCTTTCCCCTCCCTTTCAAGCTACTGTTCCTGATCTTCATGGGGTTGAAGTATGGGGCAGAAGAGGGAAAAGGGGGCCCAAAAGTTCTTGACTGCACTATTGTAAGATAACAATGTGTTCCCTGGGCCTCAGATCTCCAAAGTCTTTCCCTCCTGGGTATTCTCATGGATTCTTCAGAGTTTTCCTTTTAAGACCCTTCTGGCAGCTTCTGTACTTTCTCTACCTTATCATCTATCTCTGATTTTCTGCCCATGCACTCAACATAGTGTTCTCTGTAGGAGTTCCTTCACTCTTCTAGTTTGGGGGGGGGGGGGTATGAAAAAAAACATCTCGAGTCTTGAGCATATTTGGCCCCTATACCCTTGGAGTGCAATACAGCCTCAATGCAGGCACTTGTTTGTCCTTCTATCCTGAATGGAAGGTTCAGTCAGTGACAATCTGGCCACTGGGTTTCTCCAGTGGGCACATTCCCCAAACGCTGGGACATCCCAAGCAATTTGTGTGTTGAAACCTTTTGTCACTGATTTTGAAGTAATCCTCACCATCTAGGGGCAGGGCTCAAAGCAATCTAAAAATCCTCCCCCAGAGGGGAGAGGAGAGGTAGGACTGGGTGAAAGAAGGTAAAGGGATTATCCAAAGAATAAATATGCATAACACATAGACAAAGACAACAGTGTGGAATGAGGGGGGTGGGGGCTGGGTGAAGAGGGGCAAAAGGGAGAAAATGAGGACATCTGTAACAGCATCAACAAAATAAAAAAAGAAAAACAATCAAAACAAATAAAGAAAAACATAAAAGACCTCCCCAACTCCACCCTCTTCATCTCCAAATTGATTCTTGTCATGGGTAAGGGGCTCAAGAGTCACTTCTCAATCATTTGTTTGAAAAAATGTGGCATGTGGTCTGGTCTGGCCCCTTTTGGAATGGAAGGCCTATTGTATCTTCATGCCTCAGCCCAAACTTCAGTGGTAGCATCCTGTGTGTTTTTCTCTGGGTTCTTCCCCTGAGGGGCAAACACACCAATTGGCCACTGAGAGCTGGGGGTGTGGAGATTAGATCACTCTGGGCCTTCTACCAAGAAACCCCCTCCTCTTCTGCTTCCCTGTGAGTAGTGGGTGCCTCTCTCCAGGGTGGTGGGCTTGGGCTGAGTGGTAGGTAAGGAATGGGACCTTTGTGTGGGACTTGGGAGCAGGGAAGAGGGGACTTCATTCCCCATAAGGCCAATGTCTGAAATTCAAGACCAATGAAATCATGGTGGGGTGAACAAATTGGCCTGAGGCTGGAAAGGAATTGGAGCAGCCACGAAGCCCAATTAAGAAATGAGGTTGAGCCCTGGCCAGTTTGGCTCAGCGGTTAGAGCGTCGGCCTGTGGTCCGGAGAGACCCGGGTTCGGTTCCCGCTAAGGGCACGTGCTTCGGTTGCAGTTTGTCCCCGGCCCTGGTTGGTCGTGCGGGTGGCAGCCACTCGATGTGTCCCTTCACGTCGATGTTTCTCTCTCTCTCTTCCTCTCTCTCCCTCCCACTCTATCTGTACAAAAAATGGAAAAATATCCTCAGGTGAGGATAAAAAAAAAGAAAAAGAAATGAGGTTGAGCCCTGGCCAGTTTGGCTCAGCGGTTGAGCATCAGCCTGTGGACCAGAGAGTCCCAGGTTCAGTTCCCACTAGAGGCATGTACCACAAAAAAAAAAAAAAAAATGAGGTTGAGTCCAGCTGGTGTGGCTCAGTGGTTGAGCATCAACCCATGTACCAAGAGGTCGCCGGTTCAATTCCCAGTCAGAACGCATGCCCAGGTTGTGGGCTCGATCCCCAGTGGGGGGCATGCAGGAGGTGGCCAATCGATGTTCTCTCTCATCAATGTTTCTATCTCTCTCTCCCTCTCCCTTCCTTTCTCTCTCAAATCAATAAAAAGAAAAGAAAAGAAAAGAAAAGAAAAGAAAAGAAAAGAAAAGAAAAGAAAAGAAAAGAAAAGAAAAGAAAAGAAGTGAGGTTGATGCCCAGTTGGTGTGGCTTAGTGAGTCCTTTGCCTCAGATATATATATATATGAAATGAAGTTGGTCCAAGAGCCAGAGATATGATCTAAAGGACAAAATGCTCTCAGTACCTGTGAAACTAGTAGGGCAAAGTTCTCAGGAAAGGTGCCAGGTCTGATCTTAGAGGAAGAATTGGGAAGGGACATTATCCCCCATGTGGAAACATGGGTTGGGGAAGAGACCACAACATGAACCAGAAAGATACAGGAAAATCAAGATCAGTTTTTTGTCTCTGGGAAATGACTTGGCATCCATATGTGATTGTTGGGGACAGAAAGCAACAAATAGAATGTGTTGTTACTGCTCAGGGTTATGGAAAGATTTGCAGACCCTGGACAATGACAGGTGTGCCCTTCCATTAATATCCCTCCAGGGTCTATTGGGTGAAATGAGTGCTACTTCCCTGTTCATCATGCCAGCTTGGCATCCTTCCTGTCCACTGCAACAGGCCACAGGCAGCCTTTCCCTATCACCATCCACCTCCTGAGTGTGCTGTCCTCTCCAGGAAGCCAGCCCAGACTGGAAGAAAGTTCTAGGGTTCAGAAGTCCCTGCCATCACTCCCACTCTTTCCTGAGCCTCCCCAGGTCACCTCTGCTGTCATGCTCAGATCCTAGCCTCACTGAGGCAAAGGTCCTCTGGTCCCCATTTTCCTCCTGTCACCTGGCTTTCCAGCCTTCTCTTATCAAGTATTGTCTTGGGTGGGACTTGGTCTAAGAGGCTGGAGCCTCATATGGAGAAAAGTAGAGAGTCCAGGTGCCTGGTCCATGTCACACAACTCCCACCAATCTGTGCAGACCCCAGACCACAATATCCAGGCAATGGGTACAGCCTGCTAGACTGAGATACCAGGTGAGACACACAGAAGGGCCTTTTGCACATCAATCAATTATTTCCCAGCAGCTTCTGCCATATGGATTCTAACTAAATCTCATATTGGAACTAAATCCCCCAAACTCAACTGTCAATTTGGCCTTTGGGCTGAGCTTGGCTGATGGTGGCAGACCAAGATCCTGAGCAATGCTGGAGCCCCTAGTAGGAATCAGGACTCAAAACAGGATGAGCTCGATCTCAGGCCCCAGAAGCTGGAGGCCTGTCCCTTCCAGTTCCTGTCTCCAAGTCCTAGGTCCTGACTGAGAAATGTGCCCCAGAGCTGCCCTGGTGCTGTGACGATGGAATTTACTGGGAACAGAAATAGGACAGAGTTAGAAGGCACATATTTCAAGGGGAGGCCTGACACAAAACCTATGTTTGAAGACCCAAAGTGGTCCATGGCCATCTTAGCACCTAAGGGGAGCAGCAGGGAGAAGGGTCCACTGAATGGTCAGAGGGGAAAGGGCACCCATCTCTGAGTCCTGCAGACCTAGCTTTGAATTTCAGCTACGAACCTTGACCTTTGCCCACTCATTTAA